TTTGAAGGACTTATCCATGCCTTCATCACATCTCGTTTGGATTACTGCAACCCATTATATAGAGGTCTGGATAAATCACAGATGCAGCGACTCCAAATGATCCAGAACGCAGCGGCTCGGCTTCTTACAGGAACCAGGAAACGTGACCATATAAGGCCTATACTGGCCTCTTTACATTGGCTGCCTGTTCTTTATCGAATAGATTTTAAGATTCTCTTATTAACTTATAAAGGTTTAAATGGATTAGCTCCCCCGTATCTTCTGGAACTTTTAAAATTTCAGTCCGTGTCCAGAACCCTACGTTCTAATAATCAGCTTTTACTGACAGTTCCTCGGACCCGATTAAAGAGGAAAGGAGATCGGGCTTTTTCTGCTGTTGCTCCTTCTCTATGGAACAATCTACCTTTCCAAATTAGATCTGCCCACAGCCTGGATAATTTTAAATCGCTTCTTAAAACTAATTTTTATTCCTTGGCATTTAATTGAACTAGTGTTTGATACTTTGTTTTATTCATTTGTGTTGTTGTCACTCTTGTACAGCACTTTGGTGCAGTTCTATGCCTGTTTTAAAGTGCTATATAAATAAATTTGACATTGACATTGACATTGACATTGACATGTGTAAATTCTTCTCACTATTTAGGTATTGTAATATCTGATCACTCACCTTTATTGTTAGATATTCAGTTCTCTACCTATAAACGTAGCCCACCACTTTGGAGATTTAATTCTCTTCTTTTGGCAGACAAAGAATTTTGTGAACTCATTTCAAACTCTATTGATGAGTTCCTATCTTTCAATCGTAATGACTCCTCTTCTTATTCATTGTTATGGGAGACACTTAAATGTTACCTGAGAGGTCAAATTATTTCATATTCTGCTCTTTCTAATAAAAAGATTAATGCTAGACTTGATGTACTTGCATCTGAGATTAGTAACCTTGATCGAAGACATGCACTAAACCCTTCTCCGGAATTGCTTAAGCAGCGTGTTGATTTGCAAGCAGAATTTGATCTCATCTCTACTAAAGAGGCAGAGCGCTTGTTGCTACACAGTCGTGGCTCATATTATGAATATGGCGACAAGGCAAGTCGTTTACTGGCAAATCAATTAAGGGGACAGGCCACTTCCCGTCTGATACCTAGTATTAAAAACAGTTGTGACACTATTACTACAGATCCCCTGGAAATCAATGCTATTTTCAAATCATTTTACTCCTCATTATATATTTCTGAATTTCCTACAGACAACACAGAAATGAACTAATTTCTTCAGAATCTGTCGAATCCTGTCTGTTGGTGCCATTTTCTATGGAGTCATTTATGCTCATGTTTAGTTATTATTTTTGGATGATTTTGGTTCTATGTTTTCATATAGATTGCAGTTTACTAAGTTATTGCTTTGCTAATTTATAATTGAATTTAGTTTAATCTGCATTTATTTTAATGTTTAAAATGATCTTCACTAAATAGCCAATAGAAACTGACGCTGAGCGATAACGTTCGGAGCTCGCGCTTTTGTTGAATGTAAACTGACGTTTTTGGTCTGTTTAGAATGTTCAGTAAAGACGGGGTGAATACACCGTTTTCTACCGTCGTTAAAACCTTAACAAGCGTAGACTCGTTCTTTCCGTCTGAAAGAGTGGTTATTTGCATTCGTCAAAGAGAAAAAATGGTCACCAGCCAAGAAAGGACATTTAGCCACTACACTGTCATTGACACTAATACTGCCAGGCATTTGGACTCCCCACTCTCCCTTGAAGTAGTATCAAATGCAATTAAGGCTATGCAATCTAACAAAGCCCCAAGCCCCGACGGGTTTCCGATTGAATTTTTCAAAACTTTTATTGGTAAATTGGCACCGCTGCTTTTATCAGTATTCAATGAATCCTTGGAAAGTGGGTTAATACCACCAACCCTGACACAAGCCACTATTGCTCTCCTTCTCAAGAAGGACAAGGATCCAACCTCATGTGTGTCATGTAGAGGATCTTGAAGGGAGGACTCAGGTGCAGAGATGAGGGCAGACAAGGTTTATTGCAACAAAACGGTGGAACTCCAGACTAAGTACAAATCAAAGCTATGGAAAACTTTGAGCAAAGTATCAAAGCAAAGAAAACAAGACTGTGGCAAAACTATGACAAAGTAACAAAATAACAATTAACAAAACTGTGACAAGACTGTGACTATGGCAAAGTAAAAGACGATGGCAAAGCAAACCTGGCATGGGGTTGACGAAGGACAGACGGACTAGAAGACGAAAACGCACTCGCACAAGACAAGGGGAAACGAGGACTATTTAAACACATGAGGGAGGGGAACCCCAGGTGTACACAATAGGTAATCAAGACAAGACGAGACAGCAGACGTGACAGCTCGTGTGGGATCAGACTTTTAAAAAAAAAAGGTTCTGGAGTCTGGATCGGCATTTTCTCATGCGAGCCGATACGCATTATTTTTTGCAAATATTTACCATTGCAAGATATTTAACACTGATCAATGGTTAAAAAAAAATACAGGTACCCGGGGAACTGAAACCTAGTCTCCTGAATGGAGTCATTTTAAAGTTTTTTTCAGTTGGGGTCTGTGCAGTCTGTGGTAAGGTCTCCAGTTTTAGTCACTGACAGTGAGGTTCTCAAGTCAGTCTGAACCTCAGTCATTGGACAAACCAAGGTACCTTATGTTCCTCAGAATCCAGATCTGATGCTCTGACAGGAGATGTGTGCTTCTACACACTTTCTTTTGATTCTCACCTGGTAATGATTAAAAAGAAGTAGTTAGTGAGAAGAGCTTTCAATTGATGTGAGCTGAAATTCATTGTGGCTGTGTCCGTCACAAGAGGGTCAAATGATGAAGGAACCCTTGCACATCAACACTTATCTGTCTGTAGTTCTCCTACTCTCCCCCTTTTGAAAAGAAATGAATTCACAAAGCCATTCTTTTCATCCACATCAAGATGCCAGAGAGATAAGGCAGAGTATAGAGGGGAGGAAGGGAAATAATCCATCACTCCCCACCAAATTCCTGCTGTCTGGTTCACTAGGTCACTAGTATACTTTTTTATCTGTGTTATGTGTGTTGCACATCTCTGCACAGACCCATCAGGGAATGTACAGTACTGTAATGTCAGCATAGTTGGAGGCCATAAGCAGGGCAACAATTAAAGAACACAAAATGTCTCTGTACCTTGGGCTTCTTTTGAGTCTAATCCGGGCTGTTAGTTGACCTCTGCCCCTTTTGGGTGGCCCTGAAAGTGGGGGTGGACGGGTGGGGAAAGGAGGTTAACTGTGAGGGACGGAGACAGAAAAGACTGGAGCTGATAACAGAGGAATTGATGTATTCTGCACTGGTTGAGGAAATTGTTGAGTAAAGAATTTTAGAGCCATCTGTTTTGCAATTATTCCTTATCCTGATTCACCTTATCCCTCATCTCCTTGAGACTAGCTTGAGTCATGTTATCTGTGAGTGTGGCCATTTGTCATGTTGCCGCTGTTCTTATTCATTGTCAATATAATGGGTGATATGAGCAGCCCCCATATTGTATGACATGTTGGATAATCCTACTACAGACTTCAGGGAGGCCTGAACAGCGGGGGACAGGGGGCACAGAGGCTTCTACAGCCCCTCTAAAAACTGGTGTTATGGTTGTACTATCAGCTGGATCTTCACCTCTTCTATCCTTCACTGATACATAGCAGATAAGCTTGGCCTCTCTCATATCTCAGCATGGGAAACTTTTCTCTTACTACAGGCCATAATACATGCACCGATGGTGAAGGGGAACATCCTCTGTATCTATATCTTCTCCACATTGGTGATGTATATCTCTTAGCAAACTCAAGGAGGTACATGAGGCAAACACTCTCCTCAAGTCACCCACAGCTGGAACACACCCCGCACATTCCTTTAGGAATGCAGTAATCCATGGGGCTCCCCCTTTGTCTATCCGTGGTAGTTGGGCTTTTACCGTAGATGTGTCCTGAAGTGAAAATGAAGTCTATGCAGTATTGGAGCGGGCTCCAACTTTTGTAGAAGGCACTGATGGCTTTTGATAATGACCTCTGCATTTATCAGAACATGAATGAATGTTGCCATTCCCAGACTTATTACTATAATCATTAAAGTAGCGCATGTGGTCTGGGTTGTTCCTATGTGTTGGTGTTTCAAGGGCTACTTCCAAAATGGATGAGGCCTTCATCATAAATGTGGGAAAATCTATCAACTTAGGAGGGATGCTTTCACAGACACCAAACGGCCCTTTCTGTTGCATTTCTTTTGTCCATTCTACAAATCTATCAACACCTTTCTGTGCGTCAGTCTTTGGAACTTTCCTCAGCCATCTTTGTAGTGTTTCAGCTAACACCACCCCCAAGGAAGTGGATTTACAGACTTTACACTCTTCAAGGGTTTTCCGTGACATCATACACAAGATTACACGTGTTAACAGTGAGGGTGAAAAGCACAATGCCCAATGTGATGACTTGCTAGAGAAGCTTCTAGGCACTGGCCACTATATGGTCATGCACGCTCAAACATTATGGGTAGCCCAGTCTTGCTCACTCATTTTAATTCACCCAATTCTGTAACACCCTAACAAGAACATCCCCTATTATTCTATTCCAAACCCCCGTACACAAGACTTTTAGAGATCTGTGTAGGTGCGGGAATTCTTGAACAGTCTGTACTGTCTAGCTGTTTACCCAGAGCAGCACCTGCAAGATAGAATTCTAATTCTAGGCTGCTGCAGACAATAAACATGTACTAAAATGATCTGTATGCGCTGTTTCATATCATTATGGAAAATCCTGATAGTTGGGATAATAGTATGCTGATGATGGCAGGTTAGGTGGCTGTTAAAAGCATAATTCTCTCATAACAGCATACGAGGAAACAAAACGATGCAGCTCCTCACCGTTTTGTCTCACCTGCTTTATTTGTAAAGCAGGATGGCCCCCGGAGAGGGCCGCCATACAAGGCTGCATTGTGCGTCCCCACTCCCAGAGCCCCACTCCTGCCTGGAGGTCCGGATATCCCCCAGGCCCGTGCCCCGCAACCGCAGGGGACCACCACCTGACCGGAGGGCACGCCACTGCCACACCTGCAGCTCCTTGTAGAGGGAGAGGAAAAAAAAAAAAGGAAAAAGGGGGGGGGCAGGGGGCCTCACACTCACATCCAACACAGTGAGGACCATTTGTGATCACTTCCTATCTACATTGATACCATTTAAATCATCCAGTATACTATACACAATTGGGGGAATGCAGGAACACTACACTTTAGCCATACTGATAATTACTTACAGACCTCCAGCCAAAACTTATGAACAGGTGCACAAAACCCCTGAGCGTGTGCATGATCGTGCGATTAGTTGTGTTGTCCGTGCAATGTGTGCAGATTTTAGAAGGTTCAAGACCCACCCAGATCATCCTTTGGAGAAATTGAGTTAACAAAAGGTTTTATTAACTCAGGGCGCAGCGTATCAAATAATAATCACTCTTACAAGGCAGAACAAAACTGTGGACAAAGTACAAAATAAACTCACTCGATACAGAAGATGGCAAAAGTTACAAAGAATTAAATCAAAATCACTCGTACGAGGCATAAACAAGCCTGTGGACGCAGTACCAAAATAAACTCAGTCCAAAAGGTAGCATAAAAGGGGTTCAAGGCAGAAGACAAGGTTTACTATGAGGTCGCTCAGTATGACGAGGACGAAGGACGAAAAACGAAACACACTGGCACCAGACAAGGGGAGAATCAGACTATTTAAACACAAGGGAAGGGAACCCAAGGTGAATACAATTGGTGATCAGGGAAGACAAGCAGACATGTGACACACAGGGGAGTGCAAAAGACCTGAAACAAGGGGGATGTACCTTATAAAATAAAACAGGACATGTCATGACAACCATGGAGACGGGACAAAACACCAAAAGTCCCCCCAGACGTGACATAATTATTTCAATATATTATGGAAGGATTGGTGAAGATGGCTTCAGTACAGTATAATGTAATCTTACTTTATAAATATATGAAATCAACAGAGAATTAGTCGGGTTGTATCTCATCTTCACTTATGGAGAAATATTTAAGTTAATTGTTACCTATGTTAGCCCGATTCGTCAGCCCGATTGTTTTATCGGTAGCCTGAGAATATACCAGAGAAGTGATCAGAGTACAAATGTGTGATTCATTAATGTCACATGTAAAGTATAGCAGCGCTGGGCTCCAACTGACAAATTTATATTTGTGGGTGGAGCATGCTCCGTACAGTAGGAAGTTTGGATGCAAGTGAGTCTTATTGGCCAGTAGCCTCTGACATGATCAGGCCAGCTCCCAATCCATTAAAATTCCAATGAGATGTGATATGAAATGTGTGTGTGTGTGAGTGTCATCCTTAAAGACGTATATCTAATGTCTCATAAAAAGAGGAAAAATTTGGAAGTACAACTGTAAACATAACATGAGTTCAGTGTCTAAGTATGCTTCTTAAAAATGAACAAAACCATGAAATCCAGTTAAAACGTAAAACTCGAAGATAGTAAATATAAGCCAAATCCAACACCTATGCCCAATTATTTATCTATTTAATTACACATGTATTACATTTTTTCTTTCATACAATGCAATTTTTTGTTGATAAATTTTTTAAACAAATTTTTTACAAATTTTCACTATTGTATGTTCAACTTGCAGTTTTAAATAAACTGAACTGTGTTTCAGATTATGTGCCTTGCTTTGTAAATTTGTTCATTTTGTTTAATAAATTCTATCTTTAAAAAATTATTATTTGCAACAAAGTTAACTTAACCTCATATCATAGCATCGGTTGTGTGTGTGTGTGTGTTTGTGTCAGTCGCTGTAATTATGACTCCAGACCAAACGGTGGCGTTTATTCAAAGTATAGTAAGCGAGTAGGTTTCTATATGAAGAAGAAACTACGCTCCATAACATGGCGGATACCGTAAATTCATAGGAGTTGGCTGTACTTCCAATATTAACATTGGAAGAGATATACTTGATCTTAAATTAGTAAAAGGTGAGTCTAAATAAAATGTATTGTACATTGAGCCGATTTGTGGTGAAGATATGATCGGATATTTCGAAGTACGACTGTTGTTTTGGTATGCTTTTTGACAAAAAGGGTGACGTTCAGCTGCTGTGCAGGACAACTCATTTTGACATAATTTTTTATTTCAATTTGTCTATTTTTTACTGTCAGTGGATGTGATGGAAACATTTATCGTGATGTTTTTACAGATATTGTTTTCTGATGCACGTTTATGGGACGTCAATAATGTCAGATACATGTACATGTTGTCCTTTGCCAGAGCTATAACGATTGCAAGTAGCATTAATTATAACTTTTAAATCTATATTTCGACGAAGGCAAATCCTTTTAGGGATCCCAAACATCCGTCCTCAAGGGCTGCTATCCAGCAGGTTTTATACGTTTCCCTGCTTTTACACGCCTGATGGATGGATCTTTTCATAACATTAAGCGTTGCACAGCCCTGCTTTAGGTGCATTTATGTGGATCAGGTGCACTGAAACTGGAAAAAAAAAACTAAAAAACCCATATGACAGCAGTTGGAAACCTTTCCCTGGTAAAATATCAATGGCTTCAATTTTTTTTGCAGCTGTTGGCTGTGTTCTGTGATTATATCTGGAAGTTTATTCTATATAATAATGTGAAACTGTGCCATTTTAAATGTCTAATTTGCCAACCATGGTGCGTTTTTACCTGTGAAGTCTGAAGTTCAGGTTTTTAGGTGCTTTGAGAACAGGGACGGATACAATCAGTCATCCTTGAACTGTCAAAGAGTAAAGGTTTATTTGCTTTGAAGGATTTTTATGTTAATAGGATAATTTAACATATAATCTTTCAAATTCCCCCAAAGTTCCACCCAGAAGTAAAATAGATTTGTTAACTTTGTTTAATTTAACATTTTTCAAATGTATTTCTATTTCTTTTGAATTCTTTCTCCACCCATAAACTTAAGCTGCAATTATATATATATATATATATATATATATATATATAATGTTTGTGTGTGTGTGTGTGTTTTTCCCCCCAGAACCCATTTTGATATGTGTGAATGGTTGATAGTAAACAGATGTAACTGTAGTTATTATTATTATTTGAACAATGTTCCTATTACTTTGGCCTTTAATGAAAATCTGCATTTTTAATGCTTTATGCTAACTATTAGCAGGGAAAATATTAATTCACTTGAGATGCTATTATTACCAAATGATTATTTTTTTAATTTGTCATTTGTCTACAGACTGTTATGTGCATTCTTTGGAGAGAGAACTCCAAATATTATCCACGTATTCCAAAGTGCTCACCCTAACTGCTGTTCTCCGCAGGTGTGAGCGTGTCTCTTGCTGGCAAAGGTGGCAGGCCAAGAGGATACATTGTGCGGCCTTTTCTGTGCTGTGGTGAATTGTGAGGGTGCCAACTGAGTTCGGAGCACCTGTGCCACACTTGGAATTTTGCCTTTTGGAAATGTGGAGAGATTGCCATGGAGACACAGGATAAGAAGCAGGTCAGTTTGGTGCTGAACAGAGCATCCGCATGCGGAGATGGCAAGATAGCTGTTGTTGTTTTTTTTCCATTCTTGAAAAATGTACAGGAAGCTTTTAAAAGGAAAAAAAAAATCAGAATAGAAGGCTAAAATGGTACCCCTCTTTTGTACCCCTGTAAAAAGGTAAAAGCGATATGATATTGATATGATTTGATTTTGATAATACTGAAAACCTTGGGTTGCGTTCTGAATGCAGGGAATGGGCTGTAGCTGTGGAAAAATGTCTCCTGTTGGGAATTTAACATGGGCTGCCAAAATAATGTCAATTTATTGCCTAATTTTATCAGCAAAAACTATCGCCTCACAGCAGGAGGGTTCCAGGTTCAAATCCCTGGGGGACGAGGACTTTTCTGTGTGGAGTTTGCATGTTTTTCCCGTGTCTTTGTGTGTTCTCTCCGGGTACTCCGGATTCATCCCACTCTCCAAAAACATGCATGTTAGGCTCGCTGAACACTCTGAACTTCCTCAAAAAGTGAATATGATTGTGAGTGTAGGCTTTTTTCAATTAGACTAATTGGTCTGTTATTTTGCTTTCTTAGAGGAGGACATTTTCATTTAACCCTAACCCTACATATGCTGTCATGGGACCAGATGCTAAAAAAGGGATACAATGTAAGCTTTTCCCACTTCTGGGGCAGTGATTGGATGACAGCAGTTTTGCAGTCAAAACAATCCTACCATTCAACACGCCCTACCTTTTGTAAAAGTGGCTTTTCTACCTTGGTCCAGTTCAAGTTGAAGCAAGATATACAGGTTAAACACTGAATGTGTTCTAAGACCAACTCTGTCTACTGTAAACCCAGACTTAAAAACTTTGAGCAAAAGTAAAGTGCACACCCAACTCTTTCACTGACATACTGACTATGATTAGTATAATCAGGTGTTATCATTACTGACAATATATATTACTAAGAATCTGACTGTATTTAAGATTCTTGTAGGCTATATCCATTTGAAAATGATGTATGAGAATGTGATCTAAAGTGCCCGTGACCAGTTATTCCTTGACTGTTCAAAAGTTTATGTTACACATCCCTTTCCTATTATTGATCTTGTCTTCCATCAAAGAACTCTTGTTACCACCAAAACAAGAAATGGTGGTGCTCATATTAAGCCTAAGAAATTAGATCCTGGCCATTAAGAATAAGATGACATAACCTAATATTGCAGGTTGATGTCCTTGTTTCAGTAATGCCTGAAAGGCACGCTGTGATACAGTGAAAGCTTTATTTTTCTGGAAATGTGTTCATTCCTTAAAGGTTGATTTATTAGAAAGGATCAACTGTTTTTTAATTTAACGCTGATAATTGGCTAAAAGTTAATGCAGACAGGTAAGGATGCAATAAATATGAATAAAATGGTCCACAAGACAGATGTTGTGTTGCAAAAAGATTGAACTTTTTGTGGATATTGTAGCTTCAAAAGGAAATACATTTGTCTACTCGATAAACTTAATCTAGACTTAAAAATGAAAATGATTTAAAGTGTGTTCATATGGCAGATGGCAAAGATACATTTTGGGATTGTTCCTGCAGCCCTAGATAATATTCACCATATTGAGATTCCTTTAAAAGAATAATTCAGGGATGATGGGGGGTTAATATGTAAGAAGGAGCATAGTATTAGTTTGCATCTATGAAACTTGTATAGAATTAAATGTAATAATTGTCAAACTTAAGAGGAAGTGTTTAAGCTGAGGGTGAGGTGTTATTGAACACTTGACTGAAAACTACTTTTTTTTTTTTTATTCTTGGGAATTATTTTAAGCATGCCAACAACTGAGCTTATGAAGTCAAACACAGTAAAATGTACACAGCTATCGGTGTACTGTGAGTTCGTGCTTCTCATAAACTATTTCAAAATTCAGTTTCCACAGGTTAACAAAGAATAGCTTACATTCATAGTTAACCATTTCAATTTTTAACTAGTTCAAAGTTCAGTCCATTTCAATGTTTTAGGTTGTAAGTGTGAATGACAGACTGAACTTGAGAAAGAAAGGGTAGGATTATGAGAAAGATTAAAGAAAGGAAGGATTTTCTTTCAATTATATTAGACCAGGAGTTGGCAACTAGTGGCTCTGAAGCCACATGTGGCTCTTTCAGCCCTATGCTGGGGCTCCCCATGGCTGTTGAAAATAAAACTAGTACCAGTGGTTAATTTAAAGCTGTTTAAATTTTGGCGTCAGCTGTCAGATCTTCCATATAGTTAAAAAACAAGTGATTTGCAAAGCCGTCGCAGGAGAGCTATGTATAAAAATTATTTCTCGCATAGACATTTTTTATCGGCACGTGCAACATATGTCACACAGTCCAGCCCTGGTAGTGTGAAGAGGGGGGTGTTTCAGAAAATTATATATAATGACAGCAATAAACTGTTAGACAATGTCACCTAATCTGAACAAATTTTGGTTCAAGTTTGCAAATGTGTTTGGTTTAACATTCTCAACAGATTCAATTGATAGAAAAAAAACGTATTAATGTACAGGATTGCTATAAGCAACAAGTGACCTCTTTGTGTATAAAAGATGTAAACTTTTTAACAACTTTTCATCTTGAGCACTGGACAATGCCTTGACGTCCACGGGACATTTGCATAAGGACCATTAGCAGAGGAAATTTGGTCGACGTAGATGTCTGTATTCAATTATAAGTATAATTTATAAGAAATTGTACTGAAATTAAATTAAACTGCAAATACATGGACTTAGAGGTTTACAAATCAATCAAAACATTTATTTTTCCCATTTTTGTGTGAGTGTTACAGCCCTATGCTTGTGGGCTGGGTATTAGTTGTACTGTTTCCTCTGCTCGCTCTCTCTCTCCACTGGTGCGCTACTGCTGCTGCTACTCTGCGCTGCTGCTGTCACTTCCTGGTTATGCAAATTTGAATTTATCTTTATTTTCGCATCTCATCACTCTCGGTTACATACATACAACACATCCAAGCATTTCCATTTCACCACTGACACTGACACTCATACCTCATCCTAGTTTGTGTTTATCCTGTTTTGACTGCAATAAATGTTACTTTTCCTGCACTTTCAAACGGCATGGTCTCCCATCCTTGTTAAGTCCTGAGCCAGTCATACGAAATTGAATAGAATTAGAAATAAACTGAGACAGTGCACGGACAACAGATTTGGCAGTAATGCTTTGCAGTGGATATACGGCTGGATACCGTGTGCTCTGACACATCACGGTCAATAGGTAACAAGCACCAGATTTGGATGGTGGCCGTGGACCCACAGAGTCATTCAGTAAGTGCTCAAATGGTTGGCCTATAGCTAGAATCGGGCAGAGTGGAACTGGGTTTAGGGTCTGGTTGGGCTTACAACTGACACGTGTGACAGGACTCACTTTATGCCGACACGTCCCTTTTCAAACAAGGCCAAAAGAAATACCTCATAACATGGTCATATGTCTTCCTGACACCCAAATGCCCAGACTGGTCTTGTGAGATCTGTAACACAACATCCCGAAACTTTAGAGGAACAACCACTTGATACACAGAGTCACCAACAAAGCCATCTAACTGAGGTGTCCACTTCCTCATTAACACATCATTGTGCAAAAAATAACATTGGGAAAGGTCATTACAAATTGGGGGCTTGTTCCTAAGGTTTTTGTTGATTTAGTTATTGTATATTTAGTCCTTACCGTGGTTCTAAAGTATATTACGGTATTGTTTGTGAGCGCTTGGATGACTCTTGTAGCTTGTCGGCTTCGGGCCTTTGAACAGAGTTGTCAGTGTTTTGATTGGCGGTTGCGGGGAAAGACCGTGACGTAATTTTCCTTAATTGGATAGTTGTGCGCTCTTGGGGAGACACGCCGGTAGGTCAAACAGTTTCATGCAGTGTTTTTGTGTTTTGTGCAGGAGCGGGACTATATTTCCGGGGTTTTGGCGGCGATAGCCTGTTTTTGAGGGGACGTAGAAAGTAAGCGTCGCTTTCTAATGTGCACTACTTTGAAGTTTGGACAGGTGTTTCCTTGTAGGCTTTAGCGGCGTTTCCCAACAGGTGATTCACCACGTCACTCTCTAGTGTGGAGGTAGAGCTTCCCTTTTCCCCTTTCCCTTCACCGGCTCTGGAGCATTCCGTGGTTTCGAGGGGTTGCCGGCGTGCTGGTTGCCTTTACCGTGCCACTGGTTTGTAAATGCATAAAAACCCACCGCTACGCCTCACGAAGACTAGGGAGGAGTTTGTAAATTTTTCGGGTATTAACGGGGACACTTTGTCTTGTGGCTATTGTCGGAGCCTTGTAGCTGCGCATTATTAAGTTGTCATTTAAGCCTCTATTTGTCTCTCTTGGTTAATTGGTAACTATGGATGAAGTTGTTGAAGACTTTATTGAATCGCCTTGTGAAAATGGTTTGGGCATGTGTACTAAAAAGCAGCTTATAATGATAGCAGAGCATTATAATGTGGATATTGGTAGCACACAGAAACTTAAAGAGCACATTAAAAGTAATTTGAAGCTTAAGTTGGTGTGTTGAAGCCTGGTTTGGTCAAACCTTTTGTGTCTGTGGACTCGTCTCCGCCTTCTATGGCGAGTGCCACTGGTTTGTCTTTTGAGCAGCAAAAGGAAGTGCTCTTGTTAAAGTTAAATGCTGAGCAGGAAAGTGAAAGACTGCGTCAGGAGCTGGAAAAGGCTAGACTTGATGTGGAGAGACAAAAACTTCAGCTTATAAGAGAAGGTAAGCTGGAGGGTGGTGTTAAGCGCCCCCTGGGGGTGCATTCAGGAGCAAGGTCAGATGACCTGAGTGACTTGAGGCTGGTCTCTAAGTTTAATGAGAAGGACCCAGAGACTTTTTTCTCTTTGTTTGAGCGTTTAGCAGAAACTCGTGGTTGGTCAGATTCTATACGTTTGTTGTTATTACAGTGTGTTCTGACAGGTAAGGCAGAACAGGCCTTTTCTGCTTTGAGTAGTGCTGACTGTGTTGTTTATGGTACAGTTAAGGCTGCTGTCCTTAAAGCCTATGAACTGGTGCCTGAGGCGTATAGGAAGCGTTTTCATGGGTGGAAACGTGGTGACAAGTCTCATTTGGAGTTTATGCGGGACCTGGTCACTCATTTTGATAGTTGGTGCTCCTCAGCTGGTGTTGAGACATTTGAAAGCCTCCGAAAGTTGGTAATTTTACAACAGTTTAAAAACTCTGTGTCGGAGCACATTGCTACATACATTGGTGAGCGTGGTGTTAAATCTGTAGTAGAGGCTGCTGCGCTCGCTGATGACTACCACTTGACACATTCATCTGGTAGTTGTTTTGGTTCTTCTGGTCCTCGTGAAGACTTGACAAAGAGGCCACCTGTGTTGGAACCTAGAAATTGACGTTTTTCACGAGAGTCTGATAAAGTTTGCAATTACTGCCATAAACGTGGGCATTGTCAAAATGACTGTTTGCACTGGAGTCTCGTCCTAAACAGGTCACTGGTAGTGCGAAACCTGTTATGTGTGCTGCATCTGTCGTGAAGCAGGAGATGGCTGAGGTTACTGCTGGAGTTAAACCTGAGTTGGAGTCATATTTGCCTTTCATCACTGAAGGTTTTGTGTCATTAGTGGGCAGTGAAGAGCGTGTCCTTGTGAAAATTTTGCCTGACACTGGAGCCTCTACTTTGCCATTCTCTAGTGAAACCTCTGTTGGCTCAAACATTCCTGTAGTAGGCATGGGCATGAATGTTTTGAGTGTACCGCAACACAAAATGATGCTACATTGTGATTTTTTCGAGGGTGAGGTGTCCATTGGTGTTCGTCCAGTTTTACCTGTGGACGGTGTGGAAATGGTCCTGGGAAATTAAATTGCAGGTAGCCGGGTGTGGGCTGATGTTCCTCCACCTGTTAAAGTGACCAATGTTCTCCTGGTGTTCATTAAGTGTGATAAAAATGAAATACAGTTTCCTGATGCTTTCAGTGCAAGTGTAGTGACTTGTTCAAAACTGAAAAATCTGAGTTTGGACAGTGATTTTAAATGTGATTTGGCATTACCTGTTACTCCCTGGTCTGTCTCTCATACTGATCTGGTGAAGGAGCAGAAGGCTGACAGCACTTTGACATCCCTATTGGATGGTGTTTGTTCTTCAGCTGAGGTCAGAAACCGTTCTCAATGTTACTTTTTTCACAGTGATGTGTTAATGAGGAAGTGGACGCCTCAGTTAGATGGCCTTGTTGGTGACCCTGTGTATCAAGTGGTTGTTCCTCTAAAGTTTCGGGATGTTGTGTTACAGATCTCACACGACAAGTCTGGGCATTTGGGTGTCAGGCAAACACATGACCGTGTTATGAGGTATTTCTTTTGGCCTCGTTTGAAAAGGGACGTGTCGGCATACAGTAAGTCCTGTCACACGTGTCAGTTGACTAGTAAGCCCAACCAGACCCTAAAGCCAGTTCCACTCTGCCCGATTCCAGCTATAGGTCAACCATTTGAGCACTTACTGATTGACTGTGTGGGTCCACTGCCACCATCCAAATCTGGTGCTTGTTACCTATTGACCGTTATGTGTCAGAGCACACGGTATCCAGCCGTATATCCACTGCGAAGCATTACTGCCAAATCTGTTGTCCGTGCACTGTCTCAGTTTATTTCTAATTCTATTCAATTTGTTATGACTGGCTCAGGACATAACAAGGATGGGAGACCATGCCGTTTGAAAGTGCAGGAAAAGTAACATTTATTGCAGTCAAACTAGGATGCTTGGATGTGTTGTATGTATGTAAGCGAGAGTGATGAGATGCGAAAATAAAGATTAACTCAAATTTGCATAACGAGGAGGTGACAGCAGCAGCGCAGAGCAGCAGCAGCAGTAGCGCACAAGTGGAGAGAGAGAGCGAGCAGAGGAAACAGGAGGAGCTTAAGTAATCTCTGCTCCGGATCCACAGCCACCATGACTTCGCAAAGAGGAGGAGCAAACACAAGCACGGCCCAGCACAACTAATACCCAGCCCACAAGGCATAGCGCTGTAACAGTGAGGAAAAAAATTACCTTTATTTTCCCCACTTGGCTCCCACAACCATTCTTACTCCGGGTAACGACATTGCTTAATTTTACCATTCGCATAACAAAAAAGTAAACATAGTTTATATGTAGTGTATTAAACAAGATTTCTCTTTTTGTCCTGACCCTTGAGTTAGGGCATTGATATAAACAAGGCCACCGTAATCCAATCTGGGTTTAAATGTAGCAGCTAGAAGTTTTTTTTCTTTGTTAAAGAAAAACATAGCCTGCTTCTGAAGTAAAAGCCAGATTTCAGTCTCAGTTTCTTAACTAAATTTTCATTATGTCCTTTAAAGCTCAGATTGTCATCAATGAAAATAGCTAGATAATTAATTGTATTAAACTCCATTTCTGTTCCTTGAAGGGTGGCAACTGCAACTTGCTCTTTGATTTTGAGAATAACAATAATTTGCTCTTATTTGCATTCAAAGAAAGATCTAGTTGTACAAAAATGTTTTGGACTTTGTTGAATGCATTTTGTAATGTAGAGACACTATAGATAGCAAAGCTAAAGATTACTATCGTCAGCATAAAAATTGGCAATTGGTGTCCATAAGATTCTTGCCAGCACATGTTCATATGTGTGTTCTATGTTCACATAGATGGTAAATAGAAGTGGCCCCAAAATAGAATCTTGGGGCGCCCCTTCAGAGAATATCAGATTTGATAAATTGGGACCTTTTGGTGGAATAATTACAAATCTATCCAATTACCTTTTTAGATAGTCCAATATTAATTGATCTGTCTTAGAGTATAATGTGGTTTACAGAGTCAAAATCTTTTGACAAATCAATGAAAAGCACTGCACATTTTTTTCTTATTGTCAAGGGCTATAGAAATATCCTTTATCACCCTCAGTGTTTCTGTTATGGTACCGACATTTTTTTTCAATATATTCTTTTTACCTTGTTCTGTTCAGCATTATGGCAGCAGAACTGAAATCTGAGTACCGTGCTATGCTGAACAAAATTGCTTTGCCAGGGGAGGCTTTGTTAGTGAGAACCCCCCCTTCATTACCCAAAACTGCTTTTTTTATTAATTTTTGTTACCAAACTTCCATATGTCCAATAATTCCGAACCTGACTGAGGGACAGGGAAGAGAGAAGAGTAGTGGAAAGGAGTAGGAGTAGGAGAGGAGGAGTTGAAAAACCTGACTGGAATTAGCTAAATATGTTGTTGGTATACAAAGATTCTAGATTCAAGAACGCATATGGTTCTTGACTCACCATCAACAAAAATCCTTCTCTTTTAAGTCAGTGTTACAATGTAACTGCTTACACACATCGTCAAAATAAGCAACCTGTCATCTGATCACAATTCGTTATAGTTCAGTTTGGAATGTTCTTTATTTACCTCTTCTTTTTTCTTTTTTTTAATCAATGCAATATAGTATGAAGAGATAGTTGCATGTTTTGCAGGTGGAAGATGGAGTGATGTTGGGCCTTTCAACCAAGCAAGCACTGGTAAAACTTCGAGACCAGCTCACCAGCCTCCTGAACCAGCACCAGAGAGCTGCTTGCAGACATGTCTCCCTTCTGGTAAGCACACGTTTGATCAGAATATTTATCGCTTTTCATTTTTCCCAACTATCCATCCATCTATCCATCCATCCATCCATCCATTTTCCACGGAGTCGGGTCGAGGGGCCAGCAGCCGAAGCAGGGAACACATCAGAACACATCACCAGCGAGGCGAACAGGAGGAATCCTAATGCCCGAGCCACCTCAACCGGCCCCTTTCGACGTGGAGGAGCAGCAGCTCTACTCCGAGTCCCTCCCGGATGGCCGAGCTTCTCACCCCATCTCTAAGGGAGAGCTCAGCCACCTTGCAGAGGAAACTCATTTCGGCCTCTTGTATCCATGATCTAGTTCTTTCGGTCGCAACCCAAAGTTCTTCACCGTAGATGAAGGTGGGATTGTAGATCGACTGATAAATCGAGAGCTTTGCCTTTTAAGTTCAACTCTTTCTTCATCACGACAGACTGGTACAGTGCCCAAATTGCTGCCGACAACAATCCTATCCACCTGTCGATCTCCCGCTCCCTACCCCCATTTGCGACGTACTTGAACTCCTGACCCGGAGAGGGCACTCTACCCTTTTCCGGTGATAGACCATGGTCTTGGACTTGGAGGCACTGATCCTCATCCCAACTGCTTTACACTCGGTTGCAAACCGCTCCAGCGAGAGCTGTAGGTCACAACTTGATGAAGCCAACAGGACCACATCATCTACAAAAAGCAGAGATGCGATCCTAAGGCAACCAAGACGGACACCTTCCACACCTCAGCTGGGCCTAGAAATTCTGTCCATAAAACTTATGAACAGAAACGGAGACAAAGGGCAACTTTGGCGGAGTCCAACTCTCACCGGAAACGGGTCCGACTTAATACCAGCAATGCGAACCAAGCTCTGACACTGGTCATACAGAGACCTAACCGTCCGTAACAAAGGGCCAGGTACCCCATACTCCCGGAGCATCCCCCACAGGATATCCCGAGGGACATGGTTGAACGGCTTCTTTTTTTTTTTAAATATATTTTTATTCAAGAAAGTACAAAGTAAGGTACATAAAAATACAGTAACATGAATTGAATTTGCTTTTTCTTTTAACAACCAAACCCCACCCATCCACCCGCCCACATTCAACAGAGAAAATAAATAAATAAAAAATAAAAAATAAAATAAAAGGGGGGGGACAACAGAGGACATTACATGTCAATAATACAACACTTGGACATCATCAATTACATTATATATATATATACATACATGCACATATACACACACATATCTACATCCCAGGGCTCCATAGGCTTATGGAGGTAACTCTATATTTTTAAGATTTTTAAAGTACTCCATCATAGGGTCCCACACCCTGTGGAATTGTCTTGTGGAGCCTCTGATAAAGTATTTAATTTTTTCTAATTTCAAGAGAAACATTAAATCAGTGAGCCAGACCGAGACTCTAGGTGGTTCAGATGATTTCCAGAGTAAGACTATAAGTCTACGAGCTACCAAGGAAGCAAAGGCAAATGCATTCATTTGATCAGTGGATAGCATGTGCTCCTCAAACAATACTGCAAAGATGGCCATTCCTGCAAACGGTTTGATTTTGGTATTAAATGCTTCATTCAGTGTTTTACAGATGGATGACCAAAATTCGGTTAGTTTCGGGCAATTCCAAAACATATGGGTCATATTTGCTGGAGCAGAATGACACCGCTCACACCTGTCATCAATGTCCTTATAAATTCTTGAAAGTTTAGATTTGGTATAGTAAGTTCTATGGAGGACTTTTAACTGTATAAGGCTAAGCCGTGCGCAGGACGATGTTCCATTAATTCTTTTCAGAGCACGTTCCCAGAAATGTTCAGAAATAACAGAACCAAGTTCTTCAGACCATGCAATTCTAAGCTCATCTAGTGTTGTTTCCTGAAGAGAAGTTATGATATTTGAGATGTTTGCAATGTGCCTCCTGAGACACAAAGGGTTACGCAAAATCCTCTCAAGCCCTGAGTCTGCTGGAGAGGCCGGAAATGCTGGACTTTGACTTTGAATAAAATGACGGACCTGGAAATATCTGAAAAGATCAGTTTTTTGTAATTGGAATTTGGCCGAAAGGTCAGTGAAGTTGGCAAAAACACCATCTATATAAAAATGGTCACAAGTTTCCAAACCATTTCTCCTCCATTGATTGAACGCCTTCTACAAGTCCACTAAACACATGTAGACTGGTTGCGCAAACTCCTAGGCCCCCTCCAGGACCCCGCTGAGGGTATAGAGCTGGTCCAGCGTTCCATGGCCAGGACAAAAACCGCACTGTTCCTCCTGTATCTGAGGTTGAACCATTTCCTCTCCTAAACCCTGTGACCACAGCTCTGGCAATGGAGTTGAACATGGCCCACTCGTACTCAATGTCCCAGACTTCCCCCGGAACGTGGCCCACTCGTACTGAATGTCCCAGACTTCCACCGGAACGTGCTCAAGGCTCTCAAGGAGGTGGGAGTTAAAGCTCCACCTAATAGGGGAGTCAGCCAGGCGCTCCCAGCAGACCCTGACAATGTGTTTGGGCCTGCCTGGTCTCACTGGCATCGGCCCACACCATCAGGGCCAACCATTTCGTGGTCAGTGGAATGCTTCACCCGAATGTCCGAGACATGTGGCCGCAGAGCAGCTGAAACAACAACAAACTCGATCATTAAACTGCGGCCAAGGGTGTCCTGGTTCCAAGAGCACATATGGACACCATTGAATGAACATTTGTAATGGACAATTCCGTGCTGAGCACAGAAGTCCAACAAAAAAACACCACTCGGGCTCAAACTGGTGGGGCCATTCCTCCCAACCACACTCCTCCAGCTCTCACTGTCATTGCCCACGTCAGTGTTGAAATCCCCCAGCAGAACAAGGGACTCCCATGGGGGTGAACCCTCCAGCACCCCCTCCAAGGACTCCAAAAAGGGTGGGTACTCTGCACTGCTGTTAGGCGCATAAGCACCAACAACAGTCCGCACCCGTCCTCCCATCCCGAAAACGAAGGGAGGCTACCCTCTCATTCAACCCCAACCCCAACGTACAGGCACCAAGATGGGGGGCAACAAGTATGCCCACTCCTGCTCTGTGCCTCTCACCGAGGACAACTCCAGAGTAGAAGAGCGTCCAATCCCTCTCAAGATGGCTGGTTCCAGACCCAAACCTGTGCGACCGACTATGTCCAGCTGGAATCTCTCCGCCTCATGCACCAACTGAGGCTCCTTCCCCACCAGGGAGGTGACATTCCATGTCCCTAGAGTTCGCCAAGGTCCCCGACTCCGGCCGCCACCCGTTCCACACTGCACCCGACCCCATTTGGCCCCTCCCTATGGATGGTGAGCAAAATGGGGAGTGGACCCATGTGGCCTCTTTGGGCTGAGCCCGGCTGGGCTCCATGGGTTAAAGCCCGGCCACCAGGCGCTTGCAAACACGCCCCAACTCTGGGCCTTGCTCCAGATTGGGGCCCCGGTGACCCGCGTCCAGGCGTAGGTACACTTGGCCCATTCATGTTATTCATCAAAAGGGGTTTTTGTTCTTTTGTACTTTGTTCTGCATTCAAATAGGCTCCTACAACAATAGATATTTACACATGTGGACGCATATTTATTTTGCATTTATTCTGATGCTCTCGGTTTACGAGAGGGAGGGATGAGGAATTCTGAGACTTTTCAAGTTCCAACCTCCACAGAGTTTCAAACATACATGGTGCATGTAAGGGTAGTGAAAGCTTGTTTTAATCAATTCGAGTCAATTGATCAATTCATTCTCTGTATTACACTAAATTCATAAGGATGATTTACTGTGGAAATAAATTAGCTCATAACTTCATAAAGGAATTTCCAAGAATTCACCCAGGATAAAGGGAAAAATATATCAGTGTTCAGTTTGTATGTGTTTATGTAATATGTTTAGATGTTTAAACAGTTCACGAATTATGTATTGTACATACCAGTAGCTATAGTTAAGCTTAAAATGGTTTACGCACTGCCATTTGCATGATGGTATTCGTGACTTTTCATCCATGGCCTAACTCATCTTTACAATCTGGACTCTCTTTCAAATTTTGCTCAGTATCTCACTATGGGAAATGTCCTCTGCCAAGATCAATCATGGAGCCCTATTATCAGCAAGACCCATGCTTGGCATTGGGGCTCCAAAGGCCTGCAGCTCAATGTCTGATACCCTCGCTTTCTTCCCTGTAAGATAATGAGCTAATCTTTTACCTGGAATCTTGAGGAGCTGCTTAACCGACGCAGCCTGTAAGGTCTTTAACACAGGTCTTTCTGGTCTCAGGGATTACAACAGTTTTCATCAGGAAACTGTGCAGCAAACCACAGGTTTTTTTTATTTTCATATTGTTGCGGATGTGCCGCTCGTGCATGTTTTCTTTTTCTTGGGCACTTACTCTCATTACAATGTTAGCATGATGGTTACTGTTGTCTTTGATTATGATATTCAACATACAGGCCTTGCAGGCCATGGATGACAGAACTGGGAAATCTTCTCCACATTGAGCTATGGCCACTGCCACTGTGCAAGCACTTGGAGTCACAGGCTCACAGTCAAATTCTTCACCTGCATCCTGAACATCTCTGGTTCTGGCACCTGATAGGCTAAACTTATGTTGGTCTGGTCTTTCTTTGAAAGTAATTTACATTATTCAGACCGCCGGAGCACCATCTCTATACGCTATGAAGTTAAGAACTATGTATTTTAGAGATGATTTAGATAGGAATATGTTTTCCATTCAGTTTTGCATATGTTTTCCATAAACATCTTCCATAAGAGTTGTTGGATGTTGGGAAAGCCTTCTCTACCATTAAGGTTTCTTTAACAGCTATTTTAGCATGTGAACTGTGGACCTCCGGCTTGCGTACAAGTACAGACTTCAGACACCAGTTAGGCTGTCCTCACAGTCTTGTGAAGTCAAATTCCTTGCATGGTCACACATACTTGGCGAATAAAGCTGATTCTGATTCTGATGCCATATGGGTCTTGATTACACACCTGTCTGTCAGCATGGCCAAATAGGGAGATCTATGGAGGGTATGGATAGTGAGGCCCCAGGTCTCAACATAGGATGTGATTACAGTGTTAAAAAGCGGGAAGGCATTTAAAAGATTCAGTCTCTCAAACCAACTTTGTCACTGGAATCAACAACCAGAATTTGGGAGTTACAGTACTTGCTCTGTCTGTGTATGCACCATATCTGACATTTTCTCTTGACTACGTAGCAAAAATATGAAGGATAATTTTACTCTATTAATTTAATGAGATATCTGACCACACTGCCCTTCTTGCATGGGAAGAAAAACGCTTAAGAATGTCAGGCACTGGGCTGCAAACCCTTAAGGGAGATTGGAGCCTCCATGCGAAGCATCAATGGGACTTGGTGGTGGTAGAGCTTCCATGATTGGTCACTCCAGAGGGCATTTTCCCATAGCGGAGATTAGTTTTCTGTGAACAATTTCACCTGCAACCTTTACATGAGAATAAAACAAAGGTTAACAGCCTGCAATCTCATCTAATTTTTGTAAAGCATGGTAACTGTTGCTCTGCCTTTTCCTTGTTGTTCGCTATGTTTGGATGGGAACAGAGGATGAATAATTTCCTTCACCATGGAAGCCGCCAATCCTGTCTCCATTGGCCAGAAGCCGCCCTTACATTTCTGGTGGTAGTGGGACTCCTCTGTTGCCATGGTAGCCAACCTATGGGCAGGTAAGGACATTTGATCTTTTTTTACAGAATAGCTCTGCAAAAAGGTCGGGAAGGAAGAAATATAGGCTGAAAAAGCTGTAAGTTAATGACATAATCAACAATAGCTAATATAGATGCTGGAGAGGTAGTAGAAAGACGTTATATTATGTTGTTATAATGCTGTGGTAACTGTGCTGTGATATAGATTAGCATTATTTGCGAAGACCTTAATTTGCATGTATGCTGAACAGTTAACATAAGGAGTTGTATAGAAATGACAAAACAATTGCAAGCCATATCATTTCCCATACTGTGTTTGAAATAACTGGCCAAAATGCAGATTACATATTCTGTGAATTTTTTTTAGGGATAGTTTGTCTAACATTTGCAGTTGAAATACGTTGGATTTCAATATTATCACTGATTTTATATATATATATATATATATGTTGTCAGAAGTTTACTGTAAATTTTTTTACAGTGTTTTTTAAGTGTTTTTTTCTTGTTTTTTACTCTTCCTCTTACAGTTCAGGTTTAGAATTAGTGAATGCTGCAGCTTTACTTTGCCTTTTCCTGTTGAACCTGTTGTTGGTCAGACGTCAGGACAGACTGAAGAGGAGTGAAATGGTCCAACGCCTCAAACGCATAATCAAACAGCTCAATGGTGAGTGTCTATGGAAATGCAACGTAGTTATGTTTTTTTTTATTATCAAGTACAGTTGACAAGTTGGTTTGAAATGTATTAAATTCTTTTATTTCTTTTGTAATTTTCATAAAATTTGAATAAAAAAATATTTTTTTCATTAAGTATAACCAATATTGTATGATATTATATTATATTAAACTATAATAAATACAGTTGACCCTTGTCTTTTGGCACGTTTTTTTGTAGTTTGGTGCTAAAGGACAAAAGCCTTCTGGTGGAGAATATTTGTCTTTTCTGACCAAGAGGAGACAAATCGTTGAAATTAGCAGAATATTGTGTGTAGCTTTCCAACATTAACCTATTAAACACACATTTAAAGTTGAAATGATCCACTCTCATATCTTTCCATATTGTATTTTTTTGTGTGTTCGAAAGTTGCTCTTGAGTTTTGTTTTTTTAAAGCCTTTAACCCTTCCGTGATGTTCATATTGTTGCTACTCAGCCAGCGTTTGTGGGTCTGATGGACCCATTGCATTTTGTGGCTTTTAATGCCTCACAATCAAACACTTTTACATTAAAATACTGAACAGATGTTTACCTTATCTTAACTTCTCTCTCTCTCATCCAAAATCAATTCCAGGGCCCTCTAGGCAGACTACCTTTTGGCCATTAAAACAATATATTTATTTAATTTTTATTTTACAAAATAAATAAGTTTACTACTAGTAGTCACAAAAACAAAGCAAGGTTTTAACCGCCTGGCCTGCAGTCAAGCCATTTAACTGCCCGGATCTAAAACCACAGTTCTCCTCATATATACCTAACAAACACATTTTTCCAAATACAGTTACTCCCAACAATTTTAGACAGAGTTTGCACATATGCTGGAAATCAATGGGTCTCAGGGATACCCTCTAATAGAACCCCTCTGTCAATGAGTGATATGCTTTCTGGATGTGGAATTTCATCTTAAATTTGAATGATTCTTGTACAAATTTGAAAGTTGAGTCACACTCCTTTCTCTCTGGCACAGCCAAATCCGCCAATGTTGTTCCTTCTTGATTTCAAGTCTGGCAATCCTTCCTTTGGATATTTCTGACGTTCCAACCATTAAATGAGATTTCTGCCCATATCAATGGCCTTGAGGTTTTATACCTCGTGTCATAATTACACTAATCTTTAAGAATTTCGGATTATTACTATTATTAGAGCTGAGAAGTATAGTATTCTATTCATCTATGGATTACATTGATTTTAATGGCATTGTAACAACTCTCAATAGTTGCAACCTGAAGATTTCCAGTGTCCTTCTTGATGTCAACTGAGGGAAGTTGTCAAGCTAAAAGAGACTTTTCGAGCTAGGCTGTCCCACTTAAATTGGCTTACAGGGAAAAAGGTTGCAACACTTGTTGCTTAAGATAAAATTCAGGGATTCGAGTAGTTTGAGACTTTTGTTGGGCCTCATACTGTAGATGTTCAAGCAAACCATCTGGCAACGATCAAGGTAAAAGCGTGGGCATTCTAGGTTGCACTGGACTTGAGTTGAGAACTGCTGTCCCACAGTGAGGATATTGTTGGCCATGAAAAGATAACTTGAGGATCTCCTCAATTCTGCTGGCATAGGTCCAGTACAAGTTGTTAAAAAGATTCCTGGTTGGCAAAGCATCAGAAGCAGATGAGGTTTCGACTGGGATGCTAAAGTCCCTGCACATGGTGACTATCTTGGTTTACAAACCAGTGTGTGACACAAACAGGTGTCACATGGATGATCTGTGGCGATGCCTGTGTGGAGGAAGGCCTAGGTGGTTATAACCTCCTTAAAAACTAAAGGGACTGGAGAGTGTATTCCAACAACAGGGACATGCATTGCACAGTCTGCGAAATTTAACTCAGTGTGTTGGAGAGAATGTTCTGACTGTAGAACCTCACATTAGGGGTAGTAGTGTATTTTTTACCCAGGTTGTAAAGACAACAAACCCACAGACAATTGTCAGTACAACTGAATTAATGGACAAAGATTATGTTTATGTTTTCAATACATTTTACAGCATTAATCAACATCTTCTTTCCCATATTTTTTGCTTTCTCGCCCTCTTGCACCAAGATTATTTGTCAGGGTGTGTGGGTGAAGTGCAGTGGGCCCCTTCTCTTTACCCAGACCTTTACACACCCTCTTCCCCATCGTGGTCCCTTCACTGGACCTACCGTGATTTTCAACTGGTTAACCTGCCTGTTAGTCTACTGGTGGAAGGAGACATAATAGCCTTAAGACCTGGACAAGAGGCTTTTGCATCCCTAAGAGGAATTAAAGTAAGTCTATGTAGTTTATATTATAACTTTATTATTACTTATTTTTCAGAAAATATATGTGTGTGTGTATGTATTGACACATTACTCATTTACTCTTTTTCTCAGGATAATGAGCACATTGTACTGCAACCTGGAGATTTATTCCCTCCTTTCACTCCTTCCCCCCGGGTCAATGAGACTAGAGAACCTCAGAGCCCCCAGCAGCACCAGCTTTTTCGAGTGGTCTGTACTCCTGTGTTGGACCCGGTCAGGTATATATTTTTGTTATACTTGGTCAAAATTTGAGAAATCATATACTTTTTACCTTTTTAAAGTAAAAATTGCATTAATTAATCTATTTGCTATTAACAAAGTAAAGTCACAGAGACATATTCTTGGGATTTGCATTTATCTACATTGGTATCAGTAATGATTAATTGATTAAAACAATTATTATATTTACATTTAGTTTGCAGATACTCTTTATGCATATGCTTTATTAGATTAGATTAGAGATTGAAGTACTTAATTGATCCCACAGTGGGGAAATTTACACGTTACAGCAGCATTAACAACAACACGCAAGGGCAGAAAGGGATTTCATTTTATTGAATCACTTATACTTACGTGTGTATATATTTATAGTTCGATGTACACAGTTTTTCTGGTAATTATATTCACACTGAGAAACATTGGCCATGCACCAACTATGCAAAAACAAATTCCTTGTATGTCCAGAAACTTATTCGGCAATAAAGCTTTTTCTAATTCTAATTCTGACAACTTATTATTATTAATCTAATGTTTTGAAAAGTGTCTGTATATATATGTGTGTGTGTTTGTGTGTGCGTGCGTGTGTTTTTGTGTTTCTGTGTGTGTGTGTGTGTGTGTTTAGTTGAATGTATGTACATGTGTATATGTGTGATGTGGAGTTGTTTTCTTTTCCACACAGGAACAGTTTGGATTTGGCAATGAACCGCCCAATCACAGTTTTAGATAATGAGAGATTTACTGTACAGTCAATCATTACTAAGTTCATCTGTCCTTTTGTGCTGGTGAGTTGTAACATGGACCTTTTGCTTCTGATATTTCTTCTTCCCATTACATTATTAGGAAAATGTTACCTCTGATGATTTTTTCTACAAATATATTTGCAGATTGCATTCATCTTAGTGAACACTGTACGCTTTTTTTGCGATGCCCCAAACCTCCCTCCTGCCCGCTACAACTTTTTTCAGCTTCAGGTAAAAATAATCCCAAGCAATTAATGTCTACAAGTAATATCAATATGATACTGTGTCATATATGTTCTCAGACTTGACAAGTCAAGTGGCCTGTAATAAAGGGGTCCTGACAAAAATGCAAAGATTAGTTTTCTTCATATGCAATTGAGACTGTTTAACTTTATGTTGGTAATAAGAGGTCGTTGCACAGAAATGTAAGCCTGAAATTCTATTTGAAGCTGATGGGGGTTCTTCCCATCTTGCCGCTGCTCTTCCCTGTGATGTGGGTGCTGGTAAATGCCTTCGGAGAGGCCAAGGTCCTCGCTGAGTTCAGCCGTGCATCACCGGCGAGCCTGGTGAGCATGGTGCACAGAGACAGACAGAAGCCTCACGCTTACACCCATACATATGACTACTACTGACAGACAAAACTACTTTGGTTGATAACCCAATTTATTTTGTGAAGCATACTTTAAGTAATACACCCTTTGAAAAGAGGTACAACCTTTGTGAGTTACATTGTCACCACATTCGAATGCTAAAAGATTAACTTTCAGCCCCTGCTGGAATTAAGCCAAGCTCTCCTGTAAAATCCACATGAGTAATTGATCATGAGCAACTGTGACATCTGCACAAAAAGTAGAGGCTTTGTCAGTATACCTTATTTTTGGTGTTAAATAAGGCAATACAGAAAAGAACATACATGTAGTCCTTAGGGAAGCAACTGCTACCTATTTAAGCTATAGAGCCAAACAAAACTCTAAAGGCCTCAATTAATATGTTGGCTATTTAAGTTAATAATAATTCAATTATAGGATAACTGAAAAAGCACAGGTTGTTTAAAATGATGAGAAGAGAAAGTATATTTTATCTATACAGAAGTTCGAAGGACATCATAAGTTATATAGTTCACATCTGATAAAACAGAAAGACTTCTGGAAGATATCATTATGCACCAATCCATACAAGGGGACGGAACACATAATACTGCAGCACTTTCAATTTGTTCAGTAAAGTTTTAATAATCATGGACTAACCCAAAATATTTGCATAGTTCGAATATATTTGTACTTATTAGATTATCAAACCTAAGAATCTATCAATAGTTATATTCCTGTGCTGCATACACATACAACCTTTTTTACAAGTGGTATAGTTTGATCCTTTACCCACATTTACTAGTAAAAGTAGCTTAATTAGTTCAGTTTAGTGCATCAGTTTGCAGTCTGTCACATGAAGTTAGTGTATACTGTTTAAACCTGTTACATAGTGCAGATTTTGCTTAGGCAATTATGGCGCTTACTATTATTTCCTTATTCACAGTATCAGTATCATATATTGATATATGATATATTAGTACCAAACTAATATTAAAAATTAAACGGTAAACCACAACAAGACAGGACACAGAAGAGCTGTAACAAAGAGGCCCAGAGTATCAATGGAGCTGTCTTTGTGGAAAAGTGGCCCTTGCTCTAAGAAGAAAACAGAATGTCATGACTGCAATCTAAAACATTTTTCACTTACAAATATATTGGAAAGTGCTCATTCAGATCAAACAAACACTGAGCGTTTTGCAAATAAATAAAAAAAATGCACTGAACACTACCCTATAGTTTCACACAGAGGTGGGGCTGCATTGATGAACACTTTTCATGTGCTCTGTATTTTTATCTGCTCTCATACTCCCCCCCCAAGACTCCAGGGTCAGGTTTTAGTGTAACTAGAACTTACTTATTTACTAAAAACACATACAATTTAAAAGAAATGTACAAAAAGCTATACTAGAGACCACAACCAGAGAGTTGCAAAAGACCTTAGAACAGGTATTGCACATAAGGATATTCAACCTACCACCATGGTACTCAAATAAAGGCAAACTGAACTAACTAAATACATTACTTGAACCAAACTGGTTCAGCTAAAGTGCTCTTTCATATGGGTATGCATATAAAATCTGACTGTTTTCTCAATATGGATGTAAACCCTGTCAAATTAAACACACTAGTCATAGCTACGTTTTGTGTCTTAAGTTGCTTTGGACTTAAGTACATATTCGTAAGAAAAAAGATGAACGCATTTTTAATGCATTTTAGAAATTGACACAAAGTTTCATTATCTTACCTAGCAAATTGTGTATTACTTATATCAGTCTAAACTTAACATACATGCTGAAAGAGAGAGAGAAAAGACACTTCCAAGGCTTCCTTCTGTGTTTTAACCGGACTTTTCTTTTGCCTCAGCTTGCTAAGTTCTCTGAGGACACTCTAAGCAGCTACACTGAAGTGGTTTCATCCCAGGTATAACCTCTCACTCTCTTACTCTCTTCTAATAAGCTTATTTGATTTCCAGATCAATCTAAGTCTGGCTTTCTTCACTTATTCACTGCAGTGCTCCTGTACAGTCATGGCCAAAAGTATTGAGAATGACACAAATGTTATATTTACACATGATCTGCTGCCCTCTGGTTTTCATGTGTGTATGTCAGATGTTGTCATCACATACAGAAATACAATCAATGCTTGAATTTTGTCAGAATTCCTAGGTTTTTGTTTTTCCACCCGTCTCTTGATGATTGACCATTAGTTTTCAATGGGATTAAGATCAGGGGAGTTTCCAGGCCATGGACCCAAAATCTCTATGTTTTGTTCCCTAAACCAGTTAGATATCACCTTTGCTTTATAGCAAGGTGCACCATTATGCTGGAAAAGGCATTGTTCATCACCAAACTGCTCTTGGACGGTTAGGAGAAGTTGCTGTCGGAGGACATTCTAGTACCATTCTTTATTCATGGCTGTGTTTTTAGGTAAGACTGTGAGAGAGCAGACTCCCTTGGCTGAGAGGCAACCCCACACATGAATGGTTTCAGGATGCTTTACAGTTGGTATGAGACAAGACTGGTGGTAGCGCACACATCGTCTTCTCCGAACAAGCCGTTTTCCAGATGTCCCAAACAACTGGAAAGGGGATTCATCAGAGAAAATGACTTTACCCCAGTCCTCAGCAGTCCACTCCCTGTACCTTTTGCAGAATATCAGTCTGTCCCTGATGTTTTTCCTGGAGAGAAGTGGCTTCTTTGCTGCCCTCCTTGAGACCAGGCCTTGCTCCAGGAGTCTCGGCCGCACAGTGCGTGCAGATGAACTCACACCTGCCTGCTGCCATTCCTGAGCTAGCTCTGCACTGCTGGTAGCCCGATCCCACAGCTGAAACACTTTTAAGAGACGGTCCTGGAGCTTGCTGGTCTTTCTTGGGCGCCCTGGAGCCATTTTGGCAACAATGACGTTGAAATGTGTTTTTGGGGATAAAGTTAATTTTATAGGCAAATATTGATTTTGCAATTAACTGCTGTTATGCTGAACACTATTTTTAACATTCTGGAGTATATGGAAATTGCCGTTATAAAAACTGAAGCAGTATACTTTGTAAATATTAACATTTGAATCATTCTCAAAACTTTTGGCCATGATTGTAGAATCTGTGTATTTATAGCTCTCACACAACTGTTCTTTAAGAATGATTTGATGATGGATGAATGAAATTGCCCTTAGGAGTGAGTGTAAGTGTGCATGGTTGTTTGTGTATGCCGCCTCCCGCCCATTGTATACTGGGATAGGCTACCCCAATCCCCCTGCGACCCTGTTGGGAATAAGCAGCACATAAAATGAATGAATGAATGGATGGATAGATGGAAACACCTGATTTACCATGTGTTCTCTTACTCTAAGAAAAAATGTTTCTGTGTTTTTTTTACTTTAATTTTGCTGGATGTTATTTTCTCTCATTTGAATCTTTGATTTTGGCAACTTTTTAACTGTAGATCAAAAGTCATGTGGACCAAACACTCATACCTTGGCGTTCAGTCGCCCTGAACATGTAAACCCGTGTTAAAAAATAAAGTTGACGTTTTTTTTCCATATAAATGATTTTGCCAACTTATCGATATATGCATCCGGCACTTTCTGTTATTTACTTACCGAATTTATGTATTTACACTATGTGTATATATATTTCTAGTTGATAGCTAGCAAGTCTCTATTTTTTCCATATGTCTGTATTGAATTGCTTCACTGTAATTCATGACTTGTACTGCTGAATTTAATCTAAATTGTATCTGTATACCATGACAGGAGATGTGGCGCTGTGTATGGCAACACCTTATCGGAATCTTGAAAGGAGAATCTCACACACTCAGCTATTCATCCAGCCTTTTACACACTCTGGGATCAGTTACTGTAAGTACTTTTTATTCAAATCTTTTACAGTAAACAAATAGCGATTTTTCACTATTACCTATTCAGCATGCCATGGCACTGCTCTACGCTGTAATTTTGCATTTCCATAAAGAGCTGGCCCCACTAAATAGTTGCAGCTTTAGAAACCTTTTCAGCCAGGGTTCCATCAGGGCTGAGTAAGTCCGACAGGAGGCTACCGGCTGTTATATGTCCAGATACATGTCTGTATCTGAAAGTCCCATTCAAGTTCCACTCCCTGTTAATCTTCTGCTTAGGGCTTGTTAAATGATTACTGCCTTTGTGATATCTTTCAGTCAAGCCTTGTCCAGCCATTTGTCACACTTTCTGATAACAGCCATTTCTACTATTGCTGGTGTTATGTGCCATGGACAGGTCTGTCCAGCCATAATGGCTCCTTGTCTTCTCCTGTTGTTTCTCGCGTTTCTGCTGCCTCATTAGTTGTGGTCATTTTGGTGATGTACTCGTGGATGTTTGTTGTTGCATCTTGGATAGTGGTTTTAACACTCTATGGTCTTTGGCGACCTTTCTTTCGCTTAGTCTACAGCCTCAGTTACATACTCAGGTTGATGATGGACTTTGGGTGAAACCTTCCATGCATGGTAAGGAGCCTTCTTGTCTTGATATTGATGGCTTCTATCTTTAGTAAGTTTATTATCACAGCAGGGTACCTAATGCCTGGCAGGGCATAGGTGTTGATATCCCAGATCTTGTTCTAACCATTCAACTGACTCTTCAAGACTTGCCTTACTTTCTGCAGTAAGTTGCAAGTTGCAGCTTTCCCATCAGTATCTTTGTGGTTCTCATTTGCCTGTTGGATTCCAAGGTACTTGTAGCTATACTCTATGTCTGTAATGTTGCCTCGTTTTTGCCTCCATTCTGACTAATCTCTTTGTTAGCATCCGACTACACTTCCCTTGTCTGCATGACATTCTGATGTCGTTGCTGTAGATCCTAGTGGTGTGGATCAGTGAATTGATGTATTGATCACTCCTGGCATAAAGCTTGATGTCATCCATGTAGAGGAGATGGCTGATGTCAGCTCTGTTCTGTAGTTAGCATAAGTATTCAGTCTTGGTAATGATCTGGCTGGGGCGGTTCAGGCCTATGCAGAACAACAGTGTAGATAGAGCATCACCATGGTAGACATAGCACTTCAAGGTAAATTGTGCAATTGGCTTGTAGTTGGCCTCCATTGTGGGGTTGTTGATCTTATACAGTTGGAAGCCTTTTGGGATCAAAGTGTGAGGCACTGAGTCATAGGCTTTCTTGTCAATCCAGGAATTGAATAGGTTGGTCCATATGTTGCTGCCAATTGCTTTCTGGGCCCCACTCATGTGGTTAGCCATGTGCTTGTTCATCTTAGATACCTGACAGGAGCAGTAGTGCTGAAGCAGGTTATTGGTTTGTAGTTGGATGGAACTGGTACCATCAGGGGATCTTTGGGCATCAGGGCTACCTGGCTTTTAGTTAACCATTCTGGGTGTGTCCCATCCATTAACAGCTGGTTCATTGTGCTGCCAGGTGCTCATTGTGTGCAGCTAACTTCTTAAGCCAGTAGGTGTGAGTCCTGTCAACACCTGCGTTTCATATTTGAGACTCCAACTTCAACATCTGCCACAGTGACATTTATTGGAGCCTGTTCATGGAAGTTGCTGTGGTCTGCTCTTAGATCCACTAACCACTGAAAATTGTTATGTGTCGCATCCTTCTACAATATGCTCTTCCAGTATTGCTCTGTCTCAAGGTTTAATGGGGCTGTCACTGAGAATACACCTTGGATTCACTGGAGTAAAATCTTCTTAATTCTCCTGGTTTCTATCCCTCTGGTGTACAGGGCAATGAGTCTTTGCTTGGCAGTTTCCAAGGCCTCAGGCATGGACAGCTTGTTGCAATTTTAATGCCTCTCTTCATCACAACCTTCTGCAGCTGTGGTGATTGGCTAATGCTGCCTTGATCTGGGCCTGCAGTGTCTGTCTCCATGGAGGATACTGCTCTTTGTAGCTGTTTAGCTTGTAGCCAAACATCTTTTGGATGGTTGTTGCTGTGGTGTACATGAATTGATTTGTTTAAGTGATTGTTGCAGTAGGGATTGTCTAAGATTTGTCTATGATTATCTAAGACTATCTAAGATCATGACTAAGATTTCCATCTTACATGTATGTATGTGTGTGTGTTTTCAGAATGACTTTGTGGCGTTACTGTGTTGTACGCATGCATTTCCGTAACCCAATAAGTTTTTTTAATTTTCTGTGGGGTTGAATCCCAGATGACATTTGAATTTTTCAGTTTGTCTTACTTGCATTAATACGATAGATGTTGGGATTTTTGTATCTTACAATCACTTAAGGTATTAAGGTAAGGTATACGTATGTTTCAGTGCTGTTGATAAGAGCTGTGTGTTTACTCAGACGGATGAATTTTTGCCCTGTGACTACCTCCATTGATGCTTTCCCAACCCAAAGACTCTAAAGTGTATATCTGGATGGTAGCTGTAATTTTATTGTTGTGTCTAGGTGCTGTGCTGTGTGGACAAGCAGGGAATTCTCTCATGGCCTAATCCCAGTCCAGAAACTGTCCTGTTCTTCAGTGGGCGAGTTGAACCACCTCATAACAGCCAAGATGATCTCCAAGATGAACTGTCCATCAACTCCTTCTGCCAGATAGAAACTGATTATGACAGGGATGAGGTATGTTTCTTTTAGTTTTTAGAATATTGATAACAAATTTCTATTGTTTCACAGAAACTTTCTGTTTTTGATTATATACTGTCAAATAACGATAAGTTTAATATGCACATGTTACCAATTTACAGGCCCAAGAGGCAGACGCTCTGTTCTCTTTACCTGAAGACTCAAGCGCACAGCTATGGGAGCCACCAGAACTCACTGAGACGTCCAATGAAATTGCCCGCATATCTGAAACAATTCGGTTTCAACAGCCTGGCCAACCAACAAACACTCGCACTAAACACCACTCTGGATCAAACGTTAGCTTCAGCCATGACACTGTTGGGGGAGAAGAAGAGAAGGCACAGGTTAGAAACTGAAATACTAAATATCAATATGTAGTTTTGACACGAAAGGGAATTGAAGTGTCTGTGGTAGACATTTTGGCTTGCTCCAAAGTGATGTCTGTAATCCATCAGTGTTTTGAAGGAACATTTGGATTGATTCTAACAGTTGTAAATTTGACAGTTATCACTTTAGAGTGATGTAACTGTGTTGTAATGTAAATTTCATGTTTATAGGATTTCCCCATGAGCTACCCAGATGCCGAAGCTGAGGACTTTGTGTGTGACTACCACCTAGTAATGCTGAGCCTGTCACAAGACCAGCAAAATCCAGCCAGTATCCAGTTTGATGATCTCTCCTGGCAGTGCCACCTCCCTTCCCTGAAACCACTGGGTCTCAACATCATGCTCAATCTTTGCAATGCCAGCATCACCAAGCAACTATGCCTCTTCTCTGACTACTTGTCAAACCTGGCTCTACAGGAAAGTAATGGTACTGTGCTTCCCATCAGCGTACCCTGGGGACTCTGTGAGCTCTCCAGACTGATAGGTGAATGACACTATTTTCATATAGCTGCTATGTTAAATACTTTATTAATTTCTACAATTGCTGCAATGTGAATTATTTTAGAGACACGTATAATATATTCTATTGAAACAGCATTTCCCTTTTTGCAGGGCCTGTCTACTAATGTAGCGTTAAAGCTTAGTAAAGACTGGTTGTAGCTTGAGGAATATGTCTTCAATCACAAGATATCTTGTCCGTTTAATTCCTGCTATGCTTTCATCAATTCCTATTTTTTCTGCTCTTACTTTACATCTTTGATAGCTGCTCGTCATCTCTCCAACTCAACATTTTTGTATTTAGTATCCTATTACAGATTTCTTAGGCTTAAGAAAGCTCAATCAGAACATGTTCTTCTGTTGTAAACACATTTCTACAACCAGTAGAAGCTGAGGACTGTGTGTGTGACTACTAGTTTTATGAAACTTTACCTCAAACCACAGGGTCTCAACATCAAGCAGCTAGGCCTCTTCTCTGACTAGTTGATCAACCTATGCATAATCATTGCAAAAGTCATGCATCATAAAAATGTGTGACAAAGTGCCTTAGTTATGTTTATATTTACATGTAGATCTCTGTTTGTACAAGGGTTTACTCCTGGTGCAAGGGAGTTGTTTAAACAGGAAAACCATTTGACTCTGTACCAGCTGCCATCTGGGGAGAAACACAATGAGTTCCCATCTCGCCGCCTCCACCACTTATCCAAACGCCAGCCTCCCATCTCCCACCTGATCTCCTTGTTTGTTAGAGATTCTGTCTCCAGTAAGTGCAACAGCAACTGTAAATTCTTGTTCAAATATTGTGAAAAGGTCTCTCTATTTCTCTTTCTGTCTCGCTCTCTATGTATATGTGTGTTTGTGTTTTGCATATATATATATATATATATATATATATATATATATATATATATAGTGAACTGTTTTTTAAACCTGATATATTATCATATATCATTAATAGCTTTCATTTTCATTTAATTTAGCCTCACATATATTTGTTCTACATTTATTTTAGTTTTCTCTTGACTTTTTCATTATGACATTAATTACTTTATTCGCTTATCGCACGTGGGAATCGTTTATTTATATGGAATAAGCCAGCTGAAGGAAAAGCTTTAATTCATTTTATTTGCTACTGTTTCTAACAACAATGTAGATCATGTCCAGATGCTGTCACATGGTTCTGCTGATATTGTACTGGAGGCGTGCACGGACTTCTGGGATGGAACTGATATCTATCCACTTTCAGGCTCTGACAGGTCTATTATCTATCGATATAGATTGCTTTTGTTTTCCTCTTAATGTTTTCCTTTTATACAGGATGAATGAAATGTTTACTTTTCATTGTTTTAGATTCACCTATACTGTCTGAATGTCTTTGCAATTTAAACATTTAAGTTTTCTTTTTCTTACTCTGTTGAACAGAAAGAAGGTTCTAGATTTCTACCAGAGGGCCTGTCTGTCAGGTTACTGTTCTGCCTTTGCCTACAAACCCATGCAAGTATCATTGTCCAGTCATCTGAATGGGAAGTGTGTGGAGCTGGCACCCGGTCCTTGTCTTTTCGCTGGGGTTGAGCTGCCTTCCACGACCCCCATCAAGAACAATAACTTGAGAAACAGCTGGAGCTCAGATGGTAGGGGCTGAACCAGATTTATTGAAAGTTGAGGTAATAAAACAGTACGTCTAAATGTTGTTATCTTTGTCCCTTCACATTCACAGAGGGAATAGGCGAGGGTTTGGAGCGGGACGACTGTGTTCAGGCTCTGAGTGGACAGATTTTTATGGGCATGGTGTCATCTCAGTTTCAGGCAAGGCTTGACACAGTCCGTCTTATTGATGCCCTGGTCACTGCTTGCATTCGCTTTGTTTACTTCTCCATGGAAGATGAGCTCCGCAGCAAGGTGAGCCAAAGCAATCTGTTTTTTGTTGTCTTAAATATTCCATTAATCCAAACAGCAGACGAAGTGCCTAAACAATAAAGGCCAGCTGCAAACACTAAACAGTTCAAAAAGGCCTACTGCAAACACTAAACAGTCCTACAGTCATTAAGAATGTCAACAAATGCAATATCACAGAGGACCATCTTGCATTTTATAGCTGCCTGGTTTCAGAAGGGGTCATTAAGGCTATACCCTCCAACTGAATACACTTCCTTTTCCTGGATTTCTTCTTTGTCTCCCTCGGGTCTAAGTGCTTCCCCTGATGGACCCCCAGCTACTATTCTTCTTATCCAAATCCCCTGACTGGACCTAGCTGCCTCATATGGTACATCATTCACTATTTTCCTCGCATTTATATCCACTTACACCCAACTCCCGCAGTGAGAAAGCAAGCTGCAACAAATCCTAATTCTACTGGACAAACCCAGACTCTCTGTCCCCTCTGCTCTGCTTCTGCCTGTAACTCTACAACAAAGCTGTTCCCTTGCATACGCTTCTTCTACTAAATCCTCCCAAGGAAAAGTCAACCCTATAAAACTTCTCGTTCTACTCCTAGACCACAAACTATATGAGACATTAGATTTGTAGACTCTATGGCCTGAGGAGCAACAAGCTTTCCTCCTGAATCTACCTGCATCTCCCAATCACAAGAATCCTCTAAACTGCCACCCCGTTATGATCCTTGTAACTTTCTCTGACCTCTTGAACAAACTGAATTGCCATTCTTCTCACCTGAGACCCTCCTAAATTAATCTGCCTTTGCTTGTCTTCAATACCCGCTGCTAAGCGTCTTAATCCTTGGTCAGATCACCGTGTTCACTGACTAACCTCACAGCCTGACAAAATATGCCTTAGAGTTGCGGTACCTAAACTTAAAAAACATTGCAGATCTGCATTAACCCAGAGTTTTTGGTTATGGGCAGTTGGCCATACATCATATGTTTAAAAAAAAAATCTTAATCATACTTCATTCTGTTATGCAAATTTCTTTCCCGCTGAGCTTTTTCCCATGACTTTACAACTTCATGTAATATTTCCTCTTGCCTAGACATCTGCTCTGCAATAAGTTTTCTTTTCTCTTGGATATCCACTTCTCCACACTGGTTTGCATGGGCCAAATCCCAAACCTCCTCGACCTATTTGAACATTACCTGCAATCTCTGTTTAATATCTGTGTAAGACTTGCTTCTGCCTCCTGAACTTCCAGGCTAGTAGTATCAACTTACTAGCTGCCAGATCTTTACCCCTAGATAACAGCAGCTCTTTCCTAACCTCATTACATCTAAACTCCTCTACTAGACAAGATACTGGGCACTGGAGTTGGTCTTTCCCATTCCCCAAACAGTGCTACAGTACTTAAAGATCTAGGAACACCCATGTAAAAGCTAACTATTGAGATGCTTCTAGAATTACTATACTTGATTGTCATACCAATCCACTTTATATTTTTATCAAGCCTCAAGTATTTTCTTCATACATGGCACTGTTGTAGTCACAAATGTCATCTCATGCCTGAAGCCCCTAAATGATGTAAGGTGAATGCCATCCTGACGTCTCTCTTCACCTGTAATCCACTTTGAAACTCAAATAATGATCTACAATTGATATTGTAAATGCTAATTGCACACACTCTACAATAATCAAACACTTTCCAAATAAGGCTATGTGGCACCGGACAAAATGCATTTGCTAAATCCAAAAAGATAACTTGCATGTTCTTTTGTCTGACTCAGATTGGATATATATAAGACATTGTGGTAAATTAGAGGATTTACTATATTGCCTAAATTGATGTAGAAAAACTGCATTCATTTATTGCTTCAATATAGGACTACTGTATTTTTTTTATCATTGTGCAGCTCTAACAAACTTTTAAAAGCCTCCACCTGATCCTAAATGCTGCAGAGTTCTGATTACAACAAGCAGGAGAAATCACAATACTCCAGTTTTAGCTTCTCTTTATTGGCTTCTTATTGGCATTTAGAGGCTTCTTTTTATTTTAAGAACTCATAATTAGACTTTTTTTTAGTAGAGCATTTCACTGTAATACTGCACGTTTGTTTGTGGTTCCCAGAGTTTCTATAGAATGGGGGGGAGTGGCTTCAGTTATCAGGCTCTTTGTTATGTTGAACCAGCTGCTTGTATATGTCTCTTTACTTTTAGGATGAGGCTTAAGATTTTCATCTTTAACTAAGCTTATAGTTAGGAATGGCTAAGGTGACCCAGAAACATTCCATGTTCAAACTGCTTTAAGCCTAGAGTGCTACAGAAATATTCTTACTTTCAGATCTTCAAGACTTCGTCATTAATATCTCCTTAATGTTAAGTTACATAATTAAACAAGAAGCCAATGAAGAAAAACCTAAAACTGGAGAAATATTATCTATCCGGGTAAGGTTAGAGCTTCCACTGCAGCATTTTCGATCCACTGAAATCTTGACAGAGAAAGTTTCATATAGAGAGGCCAAAGTAAAGTGATTAGTGTTTTGTCTATACAGGTGTTTGCAGAGAAGATGGGTTTAGAGACAGGATGGAACTGTCACATCTCTCTAACCCCAAATGGAGATAGTCCCTGTAATGGGTCGCCATCCAGCCCCAGTCATGGATCTCTGCATGAAGATCTCAATCAAGGTACCTGTGTTCGACAATTCAAACACTTAATCTTTTTGTTTGTTTACTATGACACAACTTTTCTAAACATAACGGAAATGCACATGTGAAAACTTAAAGAGTAAATTAAGTTTAACAGGAAAAATATATTATTCCAAATGGGACATTTTCATCTCTACCTCTGTTGTCAAATCGGTTGACCAATACAACAAAACCTTGAACCTCTCTATCAGAACCATATCCATCAATTTTTCCAGCTCTGCTCTCTGGTACAGCAATGAATTCCGGAAGGGGGCCATGTTATAGAGTAGAAACGCTTTGGGCCTCATACTTCAAAAACAAGCATACCAATCAACTGCTGTATTTTTCTAACATTATTCAGAGAAGTCCAGGTGTTTCAAACAGGTGTTTTTCCATTGTTCTCCATCTCCTCAAATAATGCCCGTCTTCAAGTTCTCATTTGACATATGACTCCTGCATCAAATTCTTGGACTCTTTCTTTATTAAAGTCAGCTCCATATGCTCAGTGCTCTATTCTGCATCTGCTCCACCTGACAGCACAGTTGAGTCTAGAATCTCGCAATCACTTTGCTCCTCATCTCCCAACAAGATTTAGGAGATCTTTTGGAGGATTAAGCCACCACATGTGAACTTGACCCCTTTCACTCCAAGCGGATTATGGCACACATTTCTATTATTGCTCCACTGGTCACCTCTCTGATCAATCTGGATGTGGTTATCTTTTACTGAAAACTGACATACTGCTGAAAAAAATGCCTTTGACCCAGAAATTCTATAGCAGACCAATAGCACACATTCCTGTTCCTCCACAGATGGACTGTCATGCACCTTTTGGTTCGCCATCCATTTTATCTCCATTATCAATCACCACCCATTCCCTGCATTGAGAAGATAAAGGCATGGAAGAATCAAAAGTTTCTTAAACTCAGCAGCTCTAAAACTAATGGCATTTTGGTTAGCACTACCTGCCAGAGCAAGTCATCCCTCATCACCTTCTTCCATTTCGACTGGAACTATGGTGTCCTGTTCAATTCCCACATCTTACATGCCTTTTGTAAAATTCCTTCTTTCTTCTCAAAAATATTGCAACTCTCTGTTAATCTGTCACCCTGTATGATGCCAAAAAACATATCTATGCCTTCTAACTACATCTGCAACTGATTTTTGCTGGAAATTGGAATTTCCAGCAAAAATCTCCAGAAACACCTGTCCACTCAGAATGTTTTTAATCACAAAAAGCAAAAAACAAAAAGACAATCACATGACATAACTAGAAAACAGAATGTTCCTGAAAAATAGCAGCGACAACACTTGGCTAAATACTTTAAACTAATTAGAAGCTGGAAGGGCAATAAATGAAGGATTAAAAGCAGTTTAAATAAAAAGCTTGATTTGACGCAGAAATTCAGTCAAAGGTTTGAAGTTCTTGAATTTAGGTAGAACAATCCTAAATGTTCTCTCACTCAATCAGAAAGGCTTAGATGTAATGTATATAACAGATTAAGTGGAGTTCTGAATTGTTAGAGCAAAATTGGGCATGAAGAATTCTCATGAGTATGATCAAAGGAAAAATAAATCATAAGAGCACATACACACATGCATACCTGAATGTGAAACAGAAAAACGCAAATAGAAGACAGATTTCAAGCAAACAGAAAACAACTGAAGATGTCAACTCATGTCTACCAAAAGGCCAGAAGGTATAAAAAAAGTTCATAACAGGTTTAAAAAAAAAATCTGACATCCTATGCTGACTTTCATCTCCCTTTATTGTTTTTAATTATTGACTTAAATTGATTTCTCCTCCAGCAATAAAGTATTTCTGTCTAATGATATTTAATTAAAAAATTAATATCACATGTAGTTGCATTCCAAATTTTATATCCGACTTATTCATGTAGACCCATATTTGTAGCTTGGCAGGACAAGTTAAACAAACACATTTTAAAGAGTTTGTGGCTGCTAAATGTAATACTAAAGTTAATACTCATTCAAATTATCAAAGGAATCACCAACATAATTTCCTCTTCAAAATAATCCATACTTGTATATTATATACATTTGGGTTGTTTATTTATGTATTAATTTCAAAACAGGTTTTTAAAATGTCTTTATGTTGGTCTTAAAGTTGTGTACTTGCAGTATTTCAGATACCTTTTAGTAATGTGATGAGCGACCGTTACAATAACCATAATTCCAACAAAAGATTTGTCATTAAGGGAGAGCAGCTGATTTGATCAGTATTTATTTATAATTATTTAATGACTTAATTTTCTTTGCATAATGCACATATAAGATTTAACAAGAAAAATTAATAAAGCTGATTCATTTATATTAAAAAACATTTTAAAAAGCCACCAAAGACACCTAAATCCCTGAGTGGATAAAAAAAGGTAACTAAGTAAGATGGCTTTTTAGAAGTTTTGCACAGGATTGATTCACATCCTAAATGTAAAGAAGGATGATAATTAAACCAGAGGCTACTAAGTTAAATCAAAGTTTTTCTTTATTGTGGTCTTGAACTATAGCTGTAAAAATGTATTAATTTCCTAAAAGTAATTAGGGGGGCCATGGCAGAGGCACTTCCCACTACTTCTATTGCAAATACTTTTTCCGAGACTTATTATAGTTCTCCCGTTTCCTCCTTTCAAAATTTCCTTAGAAAATTTCTAGTTGAGGATATATTGCTGTACGCATCTGGAACTAAACTCTTTTTGGAAGTGTCTTTCATTCAAGTAATTTTACATTTGATTTACATAATAAATAACATAACGCATAACTCTACATGCACGCTAGGATATCCGGCTTAACAAAACCAGATAAAGTAGTTTTATGTTTTCTTTTGGTCACTTGCACTCCTCTTTTTCATACAAGGATAAAACTGTTAAAGGACTACTTTGGCAAATATAATCTTAAATGATCTTTGTACAAGCTTATCAGTGATTTAAAAAGTTTAGCAAAAATATGTCTGGAGTTAGTCGCCTTACGTAACATTTTGGATCCCAGATGTCTTAACTGTGCTTCATGCAATTATCCATTGATGGTCAGCTGTAAATCTGCTTGAAGTTAATGAAGACGTGTCCTCTGCTAATTTTGAGGCATTCTGTAAAATAGTCATTCAGAGGCATAAACAGGAAACTGAAAATGTATAACATGCTTTTTCAAAAATGTTTAATGTCCTGCATCTTCTGCCTTGTGCCTAAGATTCTCGGGATGAAGCTGAAGGTCTTCTGCTGCCTGACGAGGAAGCCCACTCAGACCAAGCCAGTTTCCAGCCTACAGACAGTGATATACCCAGTTTCCTGGAGGACTGTAACAGAGTAAATGTCTCTTATTATTGTAATTAATAGTAGTAACTGACTGAAGCTACGGCATAGACTTATCTTTTACTAAAAATGTTTACTTTCACTTGCTCATTTCTTTTAGTTCATATTTTCAGCCAAATTTCTTTTTCCGTTTTACTTTATTCAATTTGGTTAACTGGTGTTTATAGATCCTGTTCAGAACAGCATGTACAAATCCTGTTTGTAATGCTGCTGATAAAAGCCAGTCTCAGAGTTTGGAAATCCTGGTAACAAATAAAATAAAAAAAAGGGAGCATTTATCATTTGACTTGAAGATCATATCAGATATCAGTGTGAGTGGAAAAAGATGAAAACTGTTAACTATAATGACAGTCCTGGACCAGCACTGAAACTGGCTTGATTAGAGGCGTATGTATGGACCATTTCTTTTTACAGTTCCTGTTTACGTGCTTGCTTTACAACAGGCTAAGTTACCTCGTGGGATCCACCAGGTTCGTCCGCATTTAAAAAACATTGATAATGTGCCTCTTTTGGTTCCACTCTTCACTGACTGCACCCCTTACAGTGAGTTAACATTGTTTATTTGAATACATTTTTATGTTCTCTTCCGGATCTCCTCCTAATATTGTAGTTAATGTGACAATCAACAGATTGCAGCTTTCCACACATATATATGTGGATAAGTTAGTGGTCAGAAGTATTTTAGATTTGAATTGAAATAAGAGGATGACATTCATATCTGCGTTATTCAACCTCCTCTTGCAGCTATGTGTGAGATGATGAAGATCATGCAGGAGAACAGAGAGGTTACCTGTTGTCTGGGAAGCTCCGCCAATTTCCGTAATAACTGTCTGTTTTTGCAGAGTGACCTCAGGTATATATGTTCACGCCTTAACATGTGGAAACACTTCGGCAAAGTTCTCTAAAATCTTAGCAATCACAAACATTTATATCCTATTTGTGATGGCATTAAAATCTTGTTTTCCCCACTTTTTCACTGTGCAGCATTGCACTGGACCCTCTATATCCATCTCAGTGTTCATGGGAGACTTTTGGATATGCCACTGGAGGAGGCTTTAACGGAGACATTGAAGGACTATCTCCTCTAAGACTGTCTGGACAGCTCAACAGTCTTGGCTGCTCTGTGTCCTTCCATCAGGGAGACAGCGTCAGCATTGTCAAGCTCGTAGAGCAGGTCAGACTCTGACAGGCCCTTGCAGTGCTTATTGAGTCACACAGACACCTTAAATGTATTCATTAATCTACATATGGTTGAATGTTTGTCAGGCAAGGCATACGGCCTCTGGCATTCGGAAGTGCTTCCTCTTCTTGCTTCAGTGTCAGCTCAGCCTGGTTATCATCCAGGTAAAATGCACTTTATCTATTTTAATACAAACATTTAATATGGTTTTTAAAAGCTGAATAAAATGATTGTGGTGTTTGTGTGCAGTTCTTAAGCTGCCTTGCCCAGCTTCCTCCACCGATGAATACCACTGATATCCTCTGGGTGTCCTGCTTCAGCTATCCTCTTTTGAGGTATGTGCAGATTCTATTGTCAAGTCATCATACATTATTGTTAGTGTGTTAACACTGTATCATACTACTGGATTCTGTGTTGTTGTGCCAGTGTGTCACTTCTGGGAAAACCACCTGACACCTCTGTCATGACGGTTGCCACAGGGAAGAACCTGGATTCAATCCCAAAAAAGGTGGGATGATTCAGCAGTCAGAGCTTTTATTTATATATAAGATAAAACAGCATAAGTCCAGATTGATAGTGATGGGACATTTCAGCTACATACTTGTATGGTGTTATTAACTTTTTATCAAAGTGTTTTATCAATTGAAAAATTGATCAAAAACCACTCTCAGGACTATCCTAACTGTTCATTGCTTAAACTCAACATCTTATAATAATCATTTTTCATTTTGCCTTTATTAGTACAAAAGCATTGATCCAAATCTTCTCCATATCTAATACAACTTTCCAAAGATGTTCAATAGAATTGACATCTGTTTTAATAGGAAGGTTGGAAGAGATTATGTATTTATATAAAATTGACTAACTACCATGTTCCTTACATCTCACTGAGGTGATATTTGATTTAGGGAGTTTTAAATAAAAGCTGCAACTCACCAATAATCTTATTATATTCTCTAAGATCACAAGAACACAGTACAGGTCAGCTTTTATTGCCTATCTTGTTTTGTTTTTTTTAAAACTGATGGAACTTTGTACTCTTAGACGTACTTATCCATATGTGACTAAAAAGAGGCAAGAGACTTTATATGCCATGATTTATTTAATAAATGTTCAGTATGCTGTAAGGTTGTTAAATGAAAGTGCAAAAAAAGGTCAAAATTATGCTCAGAGGGCAGTCCTCTTATAATCGGAAGGCATTTATTTCTGTTGGAAATTACTTGAGTTGTATTTTCCCTGTCATGGCATCAAGCATTCCTTTAGTCTTAGAACAGATCTCTACTGTATGCACAGGTGTTCTTGGTTAAACACCAATATTATATTCCATAAATGGTCAGGGAAATTATAATATTGTTATGCATGCTATTTGCATCATAACAAAATGACAGAATAACTTTACAATGAAAATCAATATCAAATCACTACATATGAATGTATGAAATAATTCATTACAATGAAAGAGAGAGATCATTGTATACATAGATATTTTAGAAAAAAACAACAAAAGACTAATTTGATTGTACTTTGATTTCCTGCCATGTTATTATCTTGACAGACTCGGAACTACTTTCTTGGCTGTTTCGTTCTGAAGTTTGGCCTTAGTATTTGTGCCTACCTGTTGGCCTTTGGCTTCACCCTGCAGGCAGTCTGCCCCATGGGAAGTAATTTGACCATCTCTAGCAACACTTCATTCACCTGTGGCTCTTTATACACGGCCAGGTACGAGAGTAACTCTGTCCTGTGGTCCTGTAATTTTATTTGCCTCAAACTGGTCAGTCTCATCCCTTATTTGTAGTTGCTCTATATTTCAGAATAATCTTAGCTAATAAATAATGTTTCTTGTGTGACTGCAGCTCATCAAATGAGGCTCTTCAATGGTTTGGGGAGTTGTCCAATGGCCTGCTGCTGACTCAGAAAGTCATGGCTGGATTCCTTGTATTACACACTGGTGTGACCTAAATCTTATAGTTTCAGGATACACAGCCAAATTGTAAAGTTTTTGGCATGAAAATGAATACCCCTCTAAAACTGTACTCTTTAATTTACAGTGGTGATATCCATCAGCTATGTCCATCGTTCACAGCCTCTGTGGAGGAAGAGTCCATTCAGCAATACCTGGTGGTGTCTCACTGTTCCTGTTGTGTAAGTTATAACATTCTTTGAAAAACTGTTACGTGACATAACACAGATTTACTCTTCATCTGAATTAAGTTCAGTTATTGAATTTTGTATATTCAAGATCACTTACATCTCTTACAAATGTACAATTCTGTTAATCTTCACTTCTTTTGGTACCAGACTACTTGGCCAGATGGTACAAGCCACAGTGGATTTTCAATTGTGGTGTGACCGGGGCAGTCTCTTGACCTTTAATCTAGAAAGCATCCCTCTTGAAGTGTGGCTACTGGCCTCTCTGTCTCCACTGGTGGTAGTGGTGGTCAACGAAGTGGTGAAACTAAACGAAATACGGTATGAGTCAAAGAAGTTTATCGAAAAAGATTGCACAAATGTCTTGATTATCTGCTCTTATTTTTCTCATCTGATCATTTTAGGGTCCGAGTCCGCTATCAAAAGCGACAGAAGCTGCAGTTTGAAACAAAGTTGGGGATGAACTCTCCATTTTAATGCGCAACATTAGAAGATGATACTACCGAAGTACTGAGTCTGGTGCCTTCTTCTAGACAGAAGCAACGGACAGGGGTAAACACTCCTAGTATCACCACTTTAGCCCAACTCAAGAAGAGGGTACACAAGTGGGAACTTGTATCGTAAAGCTCCTTGACTTTGAAATGGTTGGCCATCTATCAGGAGAACAGAGAAAGGGAAAAAATGTCCAATTCTGGAACTTTTTTTTCAGTTTTTAGTTTTTCACAGCTTGAGGAATGTTTTCTGACCAGGTTTTGCTTTTTTCAGTGTCACAAACTGTAATGCACCAGGTATGTGGAAAAAGCTGCATTATTATATGTTCCTTTGGCTATTGAGGTAAAGTTGATTTTTACACGGTTTTATTTCAATGAAGAACAGAACACTGAGGTATATTAATCGGTCTCCAAACTGTCCAAACAATGTTGTTATCCATTAGATTTAAATGCTTTTCAATAAATTGAAACTCATCAAGTTGAAGAGATAAATTAAACACATTGCACACCAGAGTATACACGAAACATGAAATATCCCATGGATAGATCTGTTTATATTCCACTTAAATGTTCCGTGAGAGATTATTACAATGGTGAAATCTTACAAAATGCTTTAAAGTAATTGAGAAACTTTGAGAATTACTTGGTTTTATAAGATTTTAATTTATTATATAAATGTGAATGTATTTTCATGTCTCTTTTCTTTCTGTTCCAGTTCAGTTTAATATATATAGCATCCCCTGTATTATTTTAACCCAACAAGGCTATATACATTAATATCCATGCTGATTTCATATTTTATTAAATGTTCTTTAAACAGTAATGTTTTTGTTTGTTTTGTTGTTGTTTTTTCAGAAAAATAGTAGAATATAAGGTTAGAAGTATCAATGAAAAACTACTTTTTAAAGTTTACATTTTTCACAGATTGTTTTATGTATCTGATGAGACTATCACTCTGTGTCAATATTCTCAACCTTTAAGTGAGAAAAAGTTGAGCTTTCTTGTTATCAGAATTTTTGTTTCCTCCACTCCTATGTCTGTGACTGATTGCTAAACTTGTAAATACTGATCACAAAGGATGGAACAGAAATCACGGAATGATATGCGATAACATTTGAATGTTACATACTCATAACCATAGCTGTTTTCTATGGAACACAAAGATGTTACTATGCCTCTACCACGAAAAAAATTTGAAAGAAGAGAGGAACATGATCAGGAAAAAAATGCTTAAGAAATGGAAGAGGAAGTGAACTCAAGAGGCATGTTTGACTACAACATCAGTGAGTTAGGTGAGTACAGTGTTTTCCTTCAACAGATTCCAGAGAGGGACAATAAAAGAAGCCTTTATTATATTGGGATGTTGGCCAGTTATTTGATTTGATTTGATTTGATTTGATTTGATTTGATTTGATTTGATTTCGTGGCCAATTCAATATTTTTCCATATTACACAGTAGATGTTGGAGACCACACAAGAATGTGTGTGTGTATATACAGTACAGACCAAAGGTTTGGACACACCTTCTCATTCAAAGGGTTTTCTTTATTTTCATGACTATGAAAATTGTAGATTCATACTGAAGGCATCAAAACTGTGAATTACCACATGTGGAATTATATACTTAACAAAAAAGTGTGAAACAACTGAAAATATGTCTTATATTCTGGGTATATATATATATATATATATATAGGATCGTCTAAAACCTCCATATTTGGAAGTACTAAACATCCAGCAATGTCATTCTCCATTAGCATAGCCACACCGTCAGTGGGTAAATCAACAGGGAAAAGTCTTGTGACAAGTTTAGATTTTATGTAAACTTGGTGGACTGGTCAGGGAGCTCAAGCCATTTCTATTTCCCTCAGAACTGAGTTGAAATCATATGCACTCTGATGTGAGAAAGGTAAGACTCTTAAAAGAATGAGTGACTGGGAACCTGTAGTCTCTCAAGATGCATACTGGCTTTAAAACAGAAGTGTCAGGAGATGATGAAATCGACCCCTAACAAGAGGGTTTAAAGCAAAAATCCGGCTTTTTTTCTACCACAACCAGGGCTTTCATCACAGTGTTCAGCTTTCACAAAACCAATTTCTTTGGTCGGTTGAGAATTTGGCTGAGTTTTGCATCTTAGAGGTAAACAATTAGCTATGACACGTCCAGGTTTGTGACAGTAGAAACATTCACGACATTCTTTCTGACAGCAGTTTTAACCAGGTGGGTCTGTGGCACAGGGTTAACACGTGGCTTCTCATTAACAATGGAGGTTGACTTATGAGAAATCACATACTCATCAGCCAGAACAGCAGAAGCGATACTGGTCACCTTCTGTTCATTTAAGTACAACACCACACGATTAGGAATGCACTCTTTGAAATCTTCCAACAGTATCAACTCACGTAATGAGTTATTCCGTTGGCCTTTGAAGTAGCAAACCACTTGTCAAAAAGAACGCTTCTGTCTCTGGCAAACGCGACATGCATTTGTCCGACAACTTTCTTGTGTTGTTGAAATTTTGTCTAAGCTTTCATTAGTTTAATATACTATTGAATAACTACCCCTCTCTGATTCACTGGTAGTCAGGCAAGAAAAATAGGATATAACAAGAAAATTGATTAATATCTTAGAAAAAGGACCAGTTAGGCAAAACCAATCCTTGTTTTTCATGCAGTTGGCTACCTCCGATCTGTTGTTTACTTATTTGAAGTGTTTCAGTCTTTTCTTCTCTCTAACTTACACTCATATCGCTGTGTTGAGACTTGTAACTTAATTTGCCAGTGAGTTGAGTTTTCTTTTTTTTTTTTCACACTTTTAGATACTAATAGAATCTTTGTCACATCAATAATATTTGTTGAAATTATATTTCTTTTTTTTATTATTATTAACTTTTATGAAGAAAGACTGTGTTTTTATCAGAATGTTTACATGGCTAAGCAAACTGGTTCGGTATTAGTTCCAAACAAATACTGGAACTGCATTTGTAGAAAGTACTAGCTAGCTGCATTCGGCCACTTCGGTCGAGTGTCAAAATTATGTTAAAAACCTGCTGCCTGTTACAACCAGGTAGATACTTTTGGTTATATTATACTTTAGATCCAGTGACAAAATTGATTAGCTGGCACCTTTACTTCATGGGGAAAATGGGGAAAATGTTGATTTTGATTTCTTAGCATCCCATAAGTAGTACAGTAGAAACATAGCAAACACATAACTCAATTATTGACATCCAAAACAGGTCCTTAACAATCCTAAACAGGTATGTATGAATCTGGCTTAAGTGACAAGGTGAAAATTTCAAGGAGGTGCTGAGTACAGTTAATGTTACATATTATCAAAATTGACCAATACACAGTATATATATATTTTTTCAGTAGCTCAGTCATTAAATGCAAAGATATTAGTTGATTTATTTATTGTATTCCAGTTCCGAACCAAGACCTGACCTCCCAGCCTGATAAACATTTAGAGGCTTATGTTTGTGCATAAAAAACCCAAATAACTTTTGGATCCAAACCTTGGAAGTTCTCACAATAACAACTTTTTTTGTAGATGTAGATATTTGAAAATTAATGCTGTCCAAGTGAAGAGTTATTCAAATTGTTTTTAACATGCATGTGTGAAACAATTCTACAAGACCTGTGTAGGAATTAACACCATCTTGCGAGTGTTTGGCATTGCATATTTTAATTTGGCAGTCTAGGGGTAGCACGGTGGTGTGGTGATGTTCAAATCCCTCGGGGACCAGGTGCCTTTCTGTGTGGAGTTTGCATATTTTCCCTGTGTCTGTGTGGGTTCCCTCCATGTACTCCTGCTTCCTCCCATCCAGAGCATTCATGTTTCCTGAATTGAACACTTTAAAATTTCACCCATGGAGTTTGTGTGGTTGTTTGTCTCTGTTAAGCCCTGCAACAGACTGGTGACCTGAGGGTGTACCCTGCCCCCCCAAGACCAACCAAGTAATAGGCAGTTTAGATAATGGATGGATGAATTTGACAGGCTATTTTTGAGAGAATGCCTAACTAAAGAATGATTAACAGAATAAATATTCATTTTTTTCTTCTAATGTATAATTTTTTTTTCCAGCTTTGGTAATTTATTTCATGCTTTCATAAATATTTTTGTTGGAAAGCATCAAATATTCTCGAACAAATCTGCTATGTTCTTGAGTATTATTCTGTATGAGTAAAGATGTTGTTAGGCAAGCAAGTAATTGGACTTAAATTTGGTATAGTTTTATCAAGATTATACCATCAGCAATTAACTCAATAAATACACAGATATACTGTCGGGACTATTTGAAATATATTTGATCATAGCTCTTTTTTTCCTTCTTGCCAGATCATGTAGTATGTCCATCATCAAAACTTTGTCTGTTTCGCTTCAGTTTATCCAGTGAGTTAAAATAATCCTATCTATCCATGAACTAGTCTCTTGATCTTCACATTGTAACTGTTAAAATTACTTTTGTACTCAAATGTTGATTTGAACTTTTCCCCTGTAAGATGATAAAACTGCCTGCTAATTTAATTAATGTACATAAAGTATTTCATTGTTGTACCTTAAAAACTTGATGATGTCAAAAAGAATAAACCATTCTGAGACTAAAGAGGCCAACAGAGGTCGCCACTGTGACGAAATGAATCAACAATAGTTTTGTTGTGGCTGCACAGTGGTGTGGTGGTTAGCACTGTCGCCTTACAGCAAGAGGGTTCTGGGTTCAAGTCCCTTTCTGTGTGAAGTTTGCATGTCTGCATGGGTTCTCTACTGGTTCTCCTGCATGTTCGGTTGATTGGACATTCTAAATTGCCCTTAGGAGTGAGTGTGTGTGGTTTGTCCTTGTGTGTGGCCCTGCAATGGACTGGTGGACTGTCCAGGGTGTACCCTGCCTCTCGCCCATTGACCACTGGGATAGGCTCCAGTTCTCCCCGTGACCCCATTAGGGAATAAGCCGTAACGATAATGGATGGATAGTTTTGTTGTGCAAAATGATTGCCCTGTATTTTCCAATGTCCAACCAAAACAGTGCACAAGGCACCATAGCATAAATACTTTATTTTTTCTTTTTTTTTGCCACTGTGCTGTTCCCCTGTGCTGCTTAGGTATGCAATGTCATGTATTTTGCATTCAAGAACAAAAAGAACATCAGATTGTCAGTATTATTGGGAGAAAAATAAAAATGAAACCTACTGACGTGTGAGTGATTGAAAGAAGGCATGCTGGGGTTGCTAATGTTTTCCTGCAACCAGTTGCTTATTTCCAGGCTAAGTCATGGAAACTTTAGAATTTGGCTTTACATTTGTTTAGTATGACAACGTTGCATTAAATGTATCAAATTCTTAGGATATCAAATGTTTTTTTTAAGGATATAGGTCTCCCTTGTATCACAATAAAATATTTATATATTTAATGTGTATTTACGCATTTTTTGTCTATTACATTTTCTTTTTTTTTTCCAAAGGATATTTCGAAAGACAAATGTAAGTAATCTTTAACCCTTTAAAACCTTATCCAAGAAATAAATCAAAACAGAAAATTCCTTCTTTTTTTTTGAATTCCTTATTTGGCCTTTTGACAAAATATGTAAAAAGAAAAAACAGAAATACAGTTTTAATATTAATAAATTATTACTATGCGATAAATCAAGATTTTTTGTGTTTTGTGTCTTCTGCCCCCTGTTATCAGGTATATCTGATTGTGTACAATAGGATTTTGAGCAAAGTTTTTACCATTAAATTATGCAAAAGGTGTCAGACGCAAAATATTTCAGAAACCGTATGAATCAAATATGATACATTTGGCATTATAGGGTTAACGAAGCGTCAAATATTTATATATGTATCTAATATCTATATCTATAAAAATAAATCTATATATCTATAAAAAAAATCGACTGCAAAGCTACATTTCTTTACTAGATGCTTATTTATTTTTCTTAAACTTAGAATGAATCTCGTTTATTCCCTTTGGTGTGCATTGTTTTGTTTCTGCATCAGTCGATTACTTTCATTCATGATTGACCAATCACACGAAAGTAGGTTACGCGTGCCCATGCGCAAAAGGTCTGAAATAATTTGTTGATATCCTGCTTGAGAGTATTTTTGTAGACTGTTGTGCATCGTAGCTAAATCAATCCCCAGTGTGGAGTTTTATCTGCATGTGGAGTCAACTGAAACGTAATCTACATGAAGAGCTGATGGAAGACGCAAGAGATTTGGTAACAGAGTGCAAAACAATTTTGGGCCGTGAGCCTCCGGAGGATTTCAAAGCTAGCACTCCTCCTTTGTTAACTGTTTTCGGTCTTTAGCTTTAGCCAGCTCTTATAAAATAAATAATGTTAGAAATACAGAAAAACAGGTGTGTTAACTTAAAATAGATGCATGCTTATTTGATACCTTGTGAAAATGACCACTTGTGTAGTTCCTGTTGTGAACATAGGAAAAACTAGCTAATTCTGCTAGCGCTAGTTAGCATGTTTTATTTATTTGTGGGGACACTTCGCTGTGATGTACACTAATTCTCAACTTGAAACCACTTTACCTATGTGCACTATTTTCATTTCAGATGATTAATTACACATGCAAACACAACAAATACAAATTTCACCTGTGGTTGTAAGAAGAGGAAGTAGTCTTAACACAGTATTGTAACCGTCTTCGGTTACTGTATATCCACAGAGCAAAATGGCGCAGATGTTTACGGCTTTACTGGTCGCGTAATTCAACATGTAAACACGATTTACTTAAGATTTCCTTAATCTTCAACAACGAACATCTCAGTGCATTATGGAGACATTTTTTCCTTGAATATAGGAAAACAATTACAGATATAGAATTCGGAACATGATATTGGAAACTGTTGTGAAATTCTTTTGGAGTTGTTATACAGGTAACAATAATTATTTCAGCTCATTATGAATTAAACATTATACAACAAATTTTTGGAGAACTTTTTAATCCATATGCTTAGTTATTTTATACTGGTATGTTTCCAATTATTATATTTGTCCCTTGGATTAGTAGTTAAACACAACATAGTTTTTAACTGCATTCAATCTTTTATTTTGCTTTTGTGGTTGTGAAGGCTGAACGCACCCCACGTTCAGAGCGGAAAAGGAGAGACTCGTTTGGCATGTTTGATGGGTATGACAGTTGCAGCGATGACTCTACCAGCAGCTCCAGCTCAGAGGATAGTGAGGATGAAGTCGTGGCCTCAATTCCTGCAAACCTACCCATCATCAAAAACAATGGCCAGGTGTACACCTATCCTGATGGCAAAGCAGGAATGGGTCAGTTGTGGAAGCATTTATATATCTATGCACTGCTGAAAGTGAGTCTTGTAAGTGAGAAATTGTCTGTGTTTCACAGCCACCTGCGAGATGTGTGGAATGGTTGGAGTACGAGACGCTTTTTACTCCAAAACGAAACGCTTCTGCAGCGTGTCTTGTTCCAGAAGTTATTCATCAAATTCAAAGAAAGCAAGCATTTTGGCAAGACTCCAGGTGTGCACTCATGCACCTTGCACCCACACAGACACACACACATATGTGTGTATATATTTTTGTGTGTGCATATATATATATATATATATGTCTGTATATTTATGTTTATGCATATAGCAGATGCTTTTTTCCAGAACTAGAACATTTGATGATCACATGTGTATATATATATATATTTTTGTACATATATGTATATCCATATGTATATAATACAGATTTCTACTTCCATTATACAAGGGCAAACCTCCAACGAAAAAGGCAAAAGTGTTGCAGAAACAACCTCTCATGGCAAAGTTGGCAGCATATGCCCAGTACCAAGCAAGTCAACAGAACCAAGCCAAGTCAAAAGCCAGTAAGCCATCAAAACGAAGTAATTGAATACAAATGCTTAACAGAGTTCAGATTGAACTAATCTCTTTGCATCTCATTTCTTAGTCATCCCTTCAGAGAGCTTTGACTGGGGGAGGTACATCTGTAGCAATAACACACTTGGAGCACCTGTCAGTTGTTTTAAGCATGTAAGTAAAAGCTTGATGTGAGAATTTGACTTATGATTTGATGCTTATATGTGTGAATGACGTTGGTGCTTCATTTGTGTTTCAGGCGCCTATGGGGACGTGTTGGGGAGACATTGAAGAAGGAGTAAGGATTGAAGTACCCAACACTGACTCCAACCTCTCGACAAAGGTGTACTGGATAGCAGAAATAATAAAACTAGCAGGTAGGAAGATAAAGAGAAATGTATTAACACTTCCCCAGCATTGCCTCCTAGTATTGCTCAAGGAGCAACAACTATAGAAACATGTACATGCCAACCATGAAGTTGGTGTGAGTCACAGCGCATTTTCCATGGTCATGTCAGTCTTGATGCATCTAAACTTTGCCTTGAAAATGACCAGACATCATGTTTTTGTGGGTATGGACCCTTTTTACAAAAAAACCCAAGTTTATCTGAATGTTTGTTGGCCTCAGTAGTGACGTAGAAGTTGTTCTTATCCATAAGCCTTCTTCCATCAGCCATTTGGAGACTTTCTCACACTATTGAAACATCACTTTTATTGAAGCATCTCTGCTTTAAGATCAGAACTCTTTGGTACACTGAGGACACTCAATGTTTTTCACTTTTTTTAGAGATCATCCAGCATCAGTAAGTGCTGATGGTGCTCTTTTTCTTTCAAAATGAGCTCTCATTAGTGTACCATTTTGAAGTAATGATGATTTTAAACCTAAGGTCCCCTTTTTTAATATTAAATTTCAGCTGACAGAAACACATCAAACATAACAATCAACCAGTAAAACTAGTAACACTTTTCTGGGCAAAGAAATTTATATAATTGGACACAGTAATCGAGAAATAATAATGTTCTCTCGACTGAAAGAAAGTGGCAAAGCATGTTTGAAGATTTCCGATAAACAACTTCTTCTGTACATCCTGGTATGTGAAAGAATTGTTTCATACATATACATGTTGCTTATTAAGGGCAGAGGCTGCATGAAATGTACATCATGGTGGTCTGATAAATGTGCTAAGCCCTGTATATTTGTGTAGATGGCATGGGAAGAGTTGAGATGAGCCGTAACTGAGAGCAAAAAAAAAAGCAATTGCCTCTTTTATTGTGCCTGTAGGGTCAGAAAATATCCCTATTTACCTGCAAATGTTCTCTCAAAATTCATACAAGCAAAAGAAATGAGGCCCAGGCTTGTGTCAGTATTGTTTAATATCACGGTCATGTTGCAGATGCAAGGAATGCTTTGAAAATTAACAATTATCCAATAGCAAAAAGGAGGCCATGCTTACTACATCTTGCGTAGTTGATATGTCTAGTGATCAGTATAAAGACAGCTTGGAAAGAGAGAAGTCAAGGAGAAAACGAAATTTGGCAAAAAATATTGTGACTCACTTTCATATCTGAATACATTCTCTAATCTCTCTTGGATTTAGTCTCAAGCCTTTAGAACTGTTATTTTAAACTTTAACATGTATTTGAGCATGCTTGCCGATTTATGCTCAGTTCCCTTGACTTCTGTTTAAGCTAACTCTGTTTTCATTGTGCTATTTTGTAATAAATTATATTTGGTTCAAGCAATTTGTTACATATATACAAAACGCAAGGGATTTTTTTCATGTCTGGACAGAATGGTAATTGAAATTTTCAACTATTTTTCAGTATTTTGTTTGCTTAAACTATGTACAATTTTTAGATGTCAAAATCAGATACCTATTAACAGCTCATAGGACGGAGAGGGTTTTCTGTCCATCTGTAAAGTACTGAAAACATGGGCAAAAAGAAAAGTACGTAGCGTCTACAACCAGAAAAGACGAGTGCAATGACCTATTCCAAATCCCAAGACGAAAAAACAACAAATCTGAAAAATGTCAAAAGTGTGCCCTATTTTGGTGTGAGTTTCGCTGTTAATGTGGTAGGAGATGACAAGAGACCTGTCTGTGTCATGTCTTAAAATTCTATTGGCGGACATTATGAAACAACATTATTTAAAAAACATACGTCAGCCAGTCGCTGCAATTATTTTAGAGAAATTCAAAGAGTACTGCAAGTTACCTTGGGTTGTGAATTTTCCACAAGATGCTAGCAAGTCTAGTTTCCCATTATCCTTTCAGCCCCACCACAATACAGATTTTAGTTACTAAGCACACCCAAAGTTAGTAAGCAAGTTTTATAATTATTTTATAAGTTAAAATAATGATCATTTTTATCTTCTTAAATAGACTTTGTACCTATGTTGTTTTTCTGATGGTCAGGAGCTGAAAAGTTTTATATTTTCAAAGAAGGGTGCAACAAAAGTTTAAAAAGCACAGCTTCAAACGATTATGCAGATGTACATCCTAAACTGACCCTACCAGTGTTTTCAGTTTTACCAGTGAAGCTGTACATTGCAAAAGTAATCTGTTTATTAAAATATAAACAATTCACAGCAAAAAGCAACATTTACATCAAGTATCTTTTAAAAGGTCTGATGAAACAATTATGGGTTTACATAATTTATTTTGCCAAGCTAGGAGTTATGTTGTCCGGGGCATCAAGCCCCTAGTAGGGTCACCTAGAAGACCTATTATGATGAAAATGATAAATAGATATAGTGCTCCCTCGCCTGGACGCGGGTCGCCGGGGCCCCACTCTGGAGCCAGGCCCAGAGATGGGGCATGTTGACGAGCACCTGGTGGCCGGGCTTTAACCCATGGACCCGGACGGGCTCAGTCCAAAGAGGCCACCACCCATAGGAGAGCCCAAAGGGGTAGGGTGCATTATGGAAGGGGTGGCAGCCGGTGTCGTGGACCTTGGCGAACTGATCCCCTGCTGCAGAAGCTGGCTCTAGGGACGGGTAAAGTCACCTTTCTGGTGGAGAAGGAGCCTGAGTTGGTGTGCGAGGCGGAGAGATTCCGGTTGGACATAGTTGGGCTCGCCCCGACGCACAGCTCTGGCACTGGAACCAGCCTTTTTGAGAAGGGTTGGACGCTTTTCTACTCTGGAGTTGCCCCCGGCGATAGGCTCCGAGCAGGAGTGGGTATACTCGTTGCCCCCCCATCTGTACGTTGGGGTTTACCCCAATGAACAAGAGGGTAACCTCCTTTTGCCTTCGGTTGGGGAGACGGGTGCTGATGTTTATGCGCCTAACAGCAGTGCAGAGTACCCACCCTTTCTTGGACTCCCTTGTTCTGCTGGGGGACTTCAACGCTCACGTGGGCAATGCTCCACGTCGAGAAGAGCCAGTTGAAGTGGCTCGGGCATCAGATTAGGATGCTTCCTGGTCACCTCCCTGGTAAGGTGTTCCGGGCACATCCCACCGGGAGAAGGCCCAGAGGAGGACCCAGGACATGCTGGAGGGACTATGTGTCTCGGCTGGCCTGGGAACACCTCGGGATCCCTCCGGGGGAACTGGCAGAAGTGGCAGGGGAGAGGGAGGTCCGTGTTTCCCTGCTTCGCCTGCTGCCCCCGCGACCCAACCCCAGATCAGTGATTAACCAAGAATGGATTTTGCCAAGTGTATTGTCCCATTTTATGGTTTCAAGGATGGCAGTGTACAGTCACTCAACAGTGTTTTATCATTCCTCAGGGTTCAAGGCACTCTTGCGGTTTGAGGGCTTTGACAATGACACAAGTAAAGATTACTGGTGCAATCTCTGTATTCCTGATGTACACCCAGTGGGATGGTGTGCTTCCAATGGCAAACCTCTTGTACCTCCAAAAAGTGAGTGTAATGCCCAAATTAGTTTCTTGGAGCCCCTGATATTTACATATCTCGGTGGAAATTGTGTTAATATTTCTGTACTACTATCCAGGCATACAGCATAAGTATTCAAACTGGAAGGGCTTTCTTGTGAAACGTCTCACGGGGGCAAAAACATTACCTCCTGACTTTAATACAAAGGTAAGCAAGCAAAATATGTCTTCTAAAATGTATGTATTCTGTAACAATAACATTTTCGCACGGCTGTACAGTAACAATGACTCTATCTTAATTTCTCGCAGAACCTGGCATCATAGTAAGAGAGCTATTTGTTTTAAACTTCTTGTATTATATTTAACACTGACTTTTTGTGTTTTAGGTACATGAGAATATGCAGTTCCCGTTTAAGAAATTCATGCGTGTAGAGGTGGTAGATAAGAACTACCTGTGCCGGACACGGGTGGCACTGGTAGAGCAGGTGATTGGTGGACGCCTCAAGCTGGTCTATGAGGAAACCCAGGACAATTCAGATGACTTCTGGTGCCACATGCACAGTCCCCTCATCCATAACATAGGCTGGTCGCGAAGTATTGGACATCGGTTTAAACGATCAGGTGGGTTTGCTTGAAATCTGTTTTGCAGATTATTGTACAACGTTGCTATAGCCAAGGCAACTAATGACTAGGAGACTGTTTTTATGACACTTGGGCAGCCATCATCTCTCCCGGATTTTCTCGTCTTGTTCTGCTACTGGGTCTTGGGAAAAAAAGGGGGGAAAAATTCGATTTATGGGTTTCTTTCGTTAATGGTTACCAAATCTACCAAAGTTCACCTTCAGATGAGCTCTGGCTGCAGATTTCTGGATTAACTGGAAGATTTTCAGTATTTTTTTTAATTTTGGGACAGTCCAATGATAAGAAGTTACAGTAGTCCAAAGTGGAGCTACAATACTTCTCAAAAAGTTTTACAATTAAAAGAAAGCTTTGATATAGGTTGATAATTAGATAATACTGCAGCCTCAATAGTAAGTTTTTTGAGCTAAGGTTTAATTAACGGCAATCGTGATTGATTGACTGATTTAAACAAAAAATGTGGTATTAATTAAGGAAAAATAAACTTGAAAAGTTTAGTTGGGATTCAATCTAAAACACAGACGAATGTTTAGAAGAAGTTGTCATTTTGCTTGCCGTCCCTGCGGATGGCAAACTGCTATGTACTGCAAAGAAACCTGAGGTTATTTTTATTATCCATATCATGAAGATCCATATCATGTTCTTGATATGGTTTTGTCCAGAAAATACTCACACTGAGCAACAGAGATAGGCAGTACTAAAAGTATTTCAGCCAGGTGTAGGATGTTCAGAAATAATAGGAGGAAATTATTATTTTCTAAGTGTCATCCGTTGGATAAATACCTCCGAGAGAAATATCCTATTTCCCACAACCTTTTTGGTGTTCTGGCTTTTTGGGCGCAGTACTGACAGAAGAAAAGTTGCGTCTTAGTATTGTAAATTAGCCATGGGAAGTCTAACCCCTAACCCTTGTTGTGATTCTAAATTTTTTTCCTTCTTCTCAGATATACTTTGAATTGTAACATTTTGCGACTTTATTTCATCCTGATGGACTAGTGTGGTTTTGTTTTTCGTTTTTGGCTTGAATACCACTCCATTCTCCCCGTTTAAAAAAACTCAAACAACCGATTCTCTAAAGTGCACACCGTCTACCAACAAGCTGGTGATTAACATGAAGGAATTGTGCGAATTGATTTATAGTATAAGGGTGATTACATTGGTATAGTAACATTGATTCATCACAATAGACCACAACTACTATGTAGCACAGTGACATTGCACAGAGTCAGCTGTCGGATCTTCCTTGTAGTAGAAATACAAGTGGCTTACAAAGCAATCGCACTAGTGATACTTATAAAAATAATTTATCACAGATGTTTTTATACATGGCACGTGCAACATACATGTCGCACTGTAGAGCTCTGATAAGTGATAAATAATGAATGATTTTAGCTTTCCAAATAGCTTTCTTGAATGATATCTGTCCATTCTAATTGAGATGTTTACAAATTTGCAGTGTCATCTTTTCAGCTTTTTTTAAATATACACAACATATATATTGTGAATTATAGCAAGGAATCAGCCTCTTCTGACCTTTTACTCTCTGTTCCACTGTTTTTTGATAGACCCTTAGATAGACCCTTTATTCACATAAGCCGTGCAATCAATTAATGTAAACTCGAATGTCTAAAAAAAAGGTCACATAAGAAAGGATTTTGAGGAAAAACTGTTAATTGATTAGTCTCAATGCTATGTCAATACAAAAGCAAGGGTATGATTCAGACTGAATACATACATTCTGAAAGAAAGTTGTGTTGATCAAACACATTTTTATCTCCTTTGTAGTTAAAGTGTAAGTTGTTTTATCATCTGTATCTCATACGTTGAGTGCAATTCGTCATATGTATCGATCATTTGTTTTTTTTTAGATGTCGCAAAGAAAACTGAGGGTCAAGTTGATGCACCTGCACAGCTTTTCCAGAAGGTAAAGTAAATATTGTTATTTAGAATGAAAAATAAAGCTCCAGCAAAATGTATTTGACTGGTTGTAGTTTATGATGTTTTGCATCCAAAATGCAATGCATCCAAAAAGAATGTGACTGCAATCATCAGTTATTTCTTTAACTCATTGACTGCCAGCCATTTTCAGAACAGAGAGTCGCTCACTGCCAGAGTTTTTTGAGAATTTTGACTGATTTTTCAAGAGCCACAGAATAGTTTGTGCTATGACTATGTAAACACCGAACACACCAAAAGAAAGAGTAGACTCTCTTCTTTCATCAGGAAAAAAGATTTTGTTTCTACCTTATTCCGTTCTTCTTCGACGTGCGTCTCACCGGCGCCATTTCTCTCATAGCGAACTATTGCGTTTGTTTTTATTTGCTTACAATCTATGCTAATCTCCCATCAAAAGTGGCACAGCTACCTGGAGGGTAAATTTGTTAGTCCATACTCTGTCTAGAAGCCGATATTTACGGGAAAACTTTCGCCGATCGTCCCCCAAGCCACTCGCATTGAAAAACATAAAAGACGTCTATAGACGTCTTTGGCAGTCAGCGGTTGGATTTGAAAAGACGTCTATAGACGTCTTTGGCAGCGAATGAGTTAACTGTTACTTTCAAGAAAACATTTTGGGAGTAATAAGAACAACTATAGAGATGTATATACGCTTACTTCTCACTGTGTAATTTTTTAAAACATTGTTGTTTTGTGTTTGTTTTTGCAGCTTTTGAAGTTATTTACTGATAAAAGTTTTGGAAGTAGTGTAAGTGGCTAGCAAGTATCGCAGTCGTGCAAATAATTAGCATGAGCAGCATTAGTACAAATAAGGAACAGCAGATACACCAGTTTACCAAATGGCAACACTGTATCTAACAGCAACAATTGTTATGGGTGTTTTATTCACAAATGTTTTTTAAATGTCTAATCTTGTTTGTTTGTTTTTTTCAGTTTTTTTTTTTTACTTTGTATGGTTGGAAACTGTATAAAGAGCAATGTGTACAAAAGAAAACAGTATAGACAGTTAAATAGCTAACACTGAAATTAGCTTGGTTAAATAAGAAATACACATTTTAAATGATATCTATATGTTGTAACTCGGATGGATAAAGTGATTCAGTGAAAGTCATTGTGTGGTAAAGAGGGAGACAAAATGAGGTGAGAGACGGGTGGAGCCTACAGTTTACAACTCAAGTTCGGCATTCTGACAGCTTCAGGGAAGAAGATGTTTGTGAGCCTGGCGGTTTTGCTCTGAATGCTCCTCACCTGCCTGCCTGAGGGGGTGGACTGAAACAGTTCATGTGCGGGTTCAGTGGAATCATTCCTGATACGGAAATCCCTCCATCTGCGTCGTGATGTGTAGAGATCCAAAGTGGTGGAAAGGCTGCTCTGCCTTTACCACATTCTGCAGAAACCTTCCTTTCAGCAGCAGTGCGGCTGTCGTACCACACAGTTATCTAAGTGCGGAGGAAGCTCTCCACCGCACAGTGGTAGAAGCGCCTCAGGACTGAGCTCCCAAGTCCAACTCTCCACAGTTTTCTGAAGAAGCAGAGAGATGTATTTGGAGTAACTATTTGTGATTCATCCCACTACTGCTGTGTTGTCCGCGAACTTTACTATATGACGGCTGGGGTGTCTCATCGAGTAGTCGTATGTCAGGGGAGTAGGAATAGAATAGGAGGGGGCTCAACACATAGCCCTGGGGCGAACCAGTGCTGATGGTATTGGAGGAGTAGATAGAGTTGTGGATTCTGACAGTCTGTTTGTGAGGAAATCCAGGGCCCGCTTCCAACAGAATGGAGTGGTTGTGGAGGCTAAGGTGGTGAGAAAGGGTTCTGTATGCACCATAAATATTAGTGTACACGCAGTCCACTGTTGTCTCCCTGTGTAGGAATAGTGACATGGTGGTAAAAGATAGGAAGAGTATCCATCAGTGACAATGTAGAATGCCCCTGGGTGCTTTTGTCTGGCCAACATTTCACATTCATAAGTTCCATCGCTTCACAACAGTAGGTTTTTATCTGACCACAGTTTGTACACCAACCATCTTTTATGTACACACAGTTCACCTTTCGCGAGTTTTCCCCAAGCATTATTCGCGGTCCACTCAAAGTTGTAGGCTGTTGATCTGGAAAGCTGAGCCTGGCATGTTGTTGTTAAGCCAGGTTTCCTTGTGGCAAAGAAAAGCACAGTTTCTGATCTCTGTAGGAACTTTCAGCCGTCTTCCATAAATTCTGCCCCAGGAGTTGACCACAGTGTTCGTCACTATTGTTTACATCCCACTGCGTGTTAATGCTAAGGAAGCATTGAAGAAGCTACATGACGCAATTAGTTCTTAGCAGACGATCAACCCGGAGGCATTTTACGTGGTTGCAGGGGACTTGTGAGAAACTGACAGAGGCTTCGTGTTTCACTCAAGTCCACCTTGTTATCCAATGAGCAGACCTTGGGCAGAAGGATGGTTGGAATTGGCAACCTGTTGGCATTTTCCAGTTTTCGGGCACATCTTTTCCGAGTGCAACTTTCAGAATCAGTGATAGTGTGATTACTGAACTGTCTGTCACTATCGGTTAGGTTGAGCTATACTCCACACGTACAAAACTTGTCCTAAAATTGGCTTCATTGGATTTAAAATAAAGTTAGTCCCAGGAACTCGAGAAGCTCCAAAAGCCATTTTGGAGCCATAAGACTTGGGTCTACTTCAGATGCCATGCCCAAAGAGCAGAATCTTGAACTCTTTCTCCTATTGCTAAGATTTCAAACTATCTGTAGTTGGGTAAAGAGACAATGGGTTACATTGATCACCTCCAAATCTATTGTTGCCATAAGGCAGTCATGCCCGATTACTACAACAGTAGCCTGATACCAGTTCTACCTGTGAACTGGAAAAACTGACCAATATTTGAAGCATAGATCTACAGAGATACATTAAGTATTTTTTAGGAAGAAATGTCTTCGACAGCACTGCAATTTTCTTCTTACTCACGCTAAGGTTAAAGAGGTACTGTAGAGCCCTAAACAGCTGTTCTGCATGTCTTCATGACTCAGAACGTAACACCAGTGGACCTACAACTTTATTCTGTTTGTCCCTCAAGCTGCCCCTTCAGCAAACATCTGAAGTGGCAACTATACACGATTCTGAAAGTCCAATAAAAATAAAAGTTTTACTTGCTGAAAGCTGACCAATGTAACAATCTTCCTGAAACAAAAAAACATGCAGTGAACAATCCTTTTTTATTGAGCCATCATTAAATAGATTGAAGTTGAATGTTCAAAGCATTTATTCTATTTATTTCATACAACACAGATTCACGCTTGCCCATCCTCACAAATTCTATGTCCTTTCAAGTGTCTCGTAACATATAAAAAAGACAGTGGTAAACGAATGGTATATATACAAGGAACAGCAGTACACCGAGTCGTAACTTGCATGCATATTTCAGGTAAAAGATGTGGACCAGACGGGGGATTGGTTCAGAGATGGGATGAAATTGGAAGCCATTGATCCTCTCAACTTGTCAACCATATGCGTAGCGACTATAAGAAAGGTGATGTACTTCAGATACCACAATAATGGTGTTTGATCATGTCTGGTGTGTCCTGAAGACAAGTCAGAGTAATGAATCAGCTTTTTTCTCTCATTTCAAAATACTCCAGACTTGAAGCATTCTCTATTTTGTAGGTTTTGGCAGATGGGTACCTCATGATTGGGATAGACGGCTCAGAGGCTGTGGATGGATCCGACTGGTTTTGCTACCATGGCACCTCCCCCTCTATTTTCCCTGTTGGCTTCTGTGAAATCAATAACATTGAACTCACACCTCCTAGAGGTACTTTAAACTTTGGTATTTGGTGTTGCTCTGGCATGTACCAGCCTGTTTGTCATCAGGGAGTGCCATACAGGTTCTGGTCATAAATTTAGAATATCATGAAAATGTTTATTTAATTTTGTAATTCCATTCATTGTTAATGTTGATTATTATAACTGACACCTAATGAAAATCCCAAATTCAGTATCTCAAAAAATTACAATATTGTAAAAAGTTTAAATATTGAAGACCGTTTGCGTCACATTCTAATCAGATAATTAAATGAAGGCTACACAATCATAGGAAAGTCTCTTGACGTGACAGTTGTCCAAAATTTGGGGCTTTAATTAATTGCCCATTATAATCATCAACATTAAAATAAATAAACATTAAAAAAAAATCAGTCTGTCTTTTTGCATAGAATTACTGAAATTATTCAACTTTTTCATGATATTCTCTGCACATGTAGTTTCAGGCATTTGTTGATTGTGGGTTGCCTATCTCCAGTTTTAATCACTGACCCCCCACTGTTCCCCAGGCTACACTAAACTGCCATTTAAATGGTTTGACTACCTCAAAGAAACGGGCTCTGTAGCTGCTCCTGTCAGGTTCTTTAACAAGGTAGGCTGTAAGTGTTGTAACATGTTGCCTGTTTAGGTTTTGTTTTTAGTCATCCCTCCTTGATATCTTATTATACATTTTGATGATTTCATAGCATTCTGGATTTATCAATGCAACTGCAGTATTTGACACATTTCCCCTTTTTTCATAATGTTCACTTTTTTCTTTTAACCTATTATTTACCCTCTAGGAGCTTCCAAACCATGGTTTCAGACAAGGCATGAAACTTGAAGCTGTTGATTTAATGGAACCACGGCTAGTATGTGTTGCTACAGTGACAAGGATTGTGCATCGGCTACTGAGGATTCACTTCGACGGCTGGGAAGATGAGTATGACCAGTGGGTTGATTGCGAGTCGCCTGACCTCTATCCAGTTGGCTGGTGTCAGCTAACAGGCTACCAGCTCCAACCTCCAGCCTCACAAGGTGAGGTTATGATTCACTTGAGACAAAATGCAATTTAGTCAAAGTAAATGTATTTAATGAATTAACAGGTAGAATTTACTGAGCATTATCGATTTACACATTACAAATACCATTATCTCTCCAGGCGAGTTGTGCGTGAAGTCATAACCCCATTTTTCATGCATTTGACTTTAAGCATTGACTTTCAAGCTGTGACTAATGCACCTTTATTTATATCGGTGTGATGTCTTTACTGAGGTGACATGGGGAGTCAAAGTTCATTTACCTCTGATTGACTATGAATAACAGCAGGAGAATATGTTAGATCACTTGATTCTGCAGTGTTATGGAAAATTCTTTAAATGAATGAGGCAAAGTTTCTCAATATTTAGAGAAGCTCGATTTTGTCGAATAAAGGTATTTTATTCGAAGGCAAACAGCGTTCGAAGATGTAGCTCAAAAAGTAAACTCAAGTGAGTGCGCGCCGAGAGAAAGGCACCTCCCCTTATATAACTTTGCATGGATAAAGAAAATGCCACTGTGTTTCTTATCAACAACAAAGATATTCTAATTTACACCTCAGTCCTCAAGGAAGTCCCATGGAGAATCACCAAAAGGACAGGGCTGTGCATATTCTCAGGAGACAGGAAGGGGGGCCCATGTGGATTGACCAAAAGGAGAATGTTCTCAGGAGATGAGTGAGGATGGCACGAAGGGCTAGACATACAATTTCAAAGATAAAAACAGGAATGTGCGAGTCCTCCTTGATGGGTTAAGGAAATTGTCGCATTTCCTACTGGTGCCAAAATCACAGTCGACAGACATGTGAGACAACTCTCCCTAAAGGAATTAACAACAACAATCCTTAATAAAGGACCAAAAGAGAAAAGAATCTCTCCAGGAGAAATGCTAACTTGATGATTTGTTGGCATGAATTTACAAAGGATTATCCAATATGTGAAAAGGACTTCCATCCATCCGTCAGTCCACATTCTTCCGCTTATCTGGGGTCAGATCACGGTGGAAGCAGCTTAAGTAGGGAAACCCAGACTTCCCTCTCCTCAGTTCTTCCAGTATCTGCGATCTCGTTCAGGCCTACTGAGAGATATACTCTCTAGAGACATAGAGGAGCAGCGACTACACTTTGAGCCCCTCCTGGATGACCGAGGGTAGACAACGTAGAGGGTAGACAACGTAAATTGATGAGCAAATCAAAAGCTTTGCCTTTTGACTCAGCTCCTTCTTCACCGCAACAGACCAATGCAAAGTTAATTTCACCACAGACACCGATCCGCCTGTCAGTCTCTCTTAATCCTTCCGTCACTTGTGAACAAGACTTTAAGATACTTTAACTGCTTGCCCTGGGGAAGAACCTCATTCCCAACCCAAAGGGGACATTCCACGCTTTTCCAGCTAAGAATAAAATTGTCAGATTTGTCAGATTTCCAAAAGCTTCACAGTCAACTGCGAATCGTTCGATTGAGAGGTGGAGATTCTGGCCCGATGAAGCCAACAGAACTACATCATATGCAAAAATCAGAGACCAATTCCTGAGGCCACCAACCCGGATCCTATCAGTGCCTCAGCTGCACCTAGGAATTCTGTGTGTAAAAGTTAACAGAATCAGTGACAAAGGCCAGCCTTGGCAGAGTCCAACCCTCACTGGGAACGAATCCAACTTACTGCCAGCAATGTGGACCAGACACGGGCACCGGTCGTACAGGGAGTAGACAGCTCAAATAAGAGGGTCCATTACTCCATACTTCTGGAGCATACCCCACAGGAATCCCCAGGGAATACTGTCGAATGTCCTTTCCAAGTCCACAAAATACATGTAGACTGGTAAGGGTCCCTCCAGGATCCTGAAGAGTATGTAGAGTTGGTCCACTGTTTCAGGGTCTGGACGAAAACCGCACTGCTCCTCCAGTAGAAGTTTGTCTATCCGATGAACCCTCTTTTCCTGTACAGCAGAAAAGACCTTACCAGGGAAGCTGTTGAGTGTGATACCCACCACACATCCTCCAGTCCCCCACCTTATTTTGTTAGTCCAGGGGCACTGGTCTGGTGTCCACACATTGCTGCAGAAGTGTGTCAACCAAGACAGCTCAACAGCATCCAGAGCCTTAAGAAACTCCAGGAATATATAATCTACAATAGGCAAACAGGTTTGTGTGAATAAATCAACTGTGGGAGTCATTGTAGGAAAATGGAAGACATACCAAACCATTAATAATCTTCCTCGAACTGGGGCCCCAAGATCTCATCCCATGGGGGTCAACATGATCATGAGAACGGTGAGCAGAAATCTGAGAATTACACTGAGAAACCTGATGAATGACCTGGAGAGAGTTGGCACCAAAGTAACAAAGACTACCATCATTAAAACACGACACAGAGAGGGACTCAAATCATGCAGTGCAAGGTGCTTCCCCTTCTTAAACCTGTACATGTCCAGGCCTGTCTGAAGTTTACCAGAGAGCATATGGATGATCCAGAGGAAGATTGGGAGAACATAATGTGGTCAGATTAAACCAAAATGAATCATGAGATTTTAAGCCAAAACCTCATCCCATCAGTGAGAGCAATGAAGATGGAATGTGACTGGCTCTTTCAGTATGACAAGGATCCCAAACACACCATTGAGGCAAAAAAGTGGCTCCGTAAAAAGCATGTCAAAATCCTGGAATGGCCTGGCTAGTCTCCAGACATCAACCCCATAGAAAATTTGTGGGGGGGGAGTTCAAAGTTTGTGTTGCCCAGAAACAACCCAAAAACATTACTGTTCAAGAAGAGATCTGCATGGAGGAATGGGACAAAATACGAACTGTGTGCAAACTAGGTAAAGACTTAGAGGAAACTTTTCTTCCTCAGTCATTGCCAACAAAGGTTATGTTACAAAGTATTGAGTTGAGCTTTTGTTATTGACCAAATACTCAATAACTCAATTAAATGCACATTCATCTGAACAAAGTAAAACATTGTCACATAGTTACAACTTTGGTACCTTCTTAGCTAGGGTCCCATCAGGGCTGAGAAGGGCCGATGGCAGACGTCTTGGTTCTGGGTTTCAGAACCAAGACATGGTTAGATAGTGTCCCCATCAGGTATACCCCGCCTATTTTAAAGACTGAGCAACAACAAATGTTGGATTTAATAATTTTGTGATCATAAATACGGTAAATGCCTAATAAGCAAACCACAGTCCAACACCAAGGTTTTATCGGTTTATTGTTGCCGCAATATCCTCTATTGTTTTCTTGTGTATTAATGACGTCACGCTGGCTTATGTTCTGTTCAGCTGTAATTTGTGATGGCAAATTAATATCTAACCATTGGAAAATATCTAACCATTTAGAGCCATGCCATGGCGAACTGTGTAGGCCTGAAGAGGCACTGATAATAAAACACAATTAGATTTGTGAAATTGTCACCAATACCGAGAGTTATGTTGGGTCTAGATTGGTAAAGTATGTAAAAACAACACCACTGAGCAAGGCACTGAACAGGCCAGCGGTAGATTCTTTTGATTTTACAACAGCTGCCAATGTTAACAGTAACTGGCAGTGCTTATAGCTGTTACAAGGTAAACCATGGTACCAGTTTCACGTCATCCTGTTTAACATTTTACTGATGCACATTTTCCACCGTCAGAAAACTGTATTGTAATTGAGTATCTCCTGGATAAGAGTGATAGCTCTACTGTCTTGATATCCTATGCTTTTCCATGTCTCTTGTAGAAATGGTTTTATGCTACCCAAGTTCGCGCTCATGTGCTCTAAAGCACAGGTTGTTTTTTTCATTGTTGATAATTATTTGGCAACACCAGGGCTGATCATAAATGTATATTTAGTTTTGATAATGATTCTTCACATGAGTTGAAAGAGATTTTAAATGTTTTTTTGTTTTGTTTTTTGTTGTCCATATGCTGAATTTGTAATCCTAAGTATTCATTTGACTTTGATGTTGCTCTTTTTTTTTTAAATAAAGTCAAATTAATGTTATCTGTTGTTTTTTCCAGGTAACAGAGAAATGTCCCAGTCGGTGCCGAAGCAAAAGAAAAAGGCCCAACAGTACAAAGGCCACAAGAAAAGTGAGTCTGCTTTACCATTTTCTTCCTTCCTCAATTCATACATCTGCTTATATTTTATCTCTGGCCCTCACTTGGCTAGACTTAAACTATACTGCTTTGGGAAATGTCTCAGATTTCTAAAACTTTAATCTAGGTCTTTGGATGGTGTCAAAAGATTTGCGAGCATATGACCTAATTAACACGTTGACTGGAATCTTTTTATCTATTTTATACATATACATATACTTCAACAAAACTCTGTTAAATATATATATATATTAAATATATATATTAGATGTTCTTAAATCATTATTATTGTACTTAAACCATTAAGTAATAGGGTTGTCATAAGTATCGATACTAAAACGTTGTATCCGGATTCGATACTCCTTTTCAAAAGTATCGATACCAACCCCCCTCACCAATAGGAAGATCTCAGGCAAGAAAATCCTAATTGGTTCATGGCAATATAGACATTAATTTAAAATTAGTGAAATTAATTTAGCAAACACTTAATTCAACTCTATACATAATAATTTTTTTAAATAGTGAATGTTAAATAGGTTTGTAAAATAAGTCCAAACAACTTTAACCAAAAAATATTTATTTCTCACAATTATAAAGGCTGGAGGGTTAGGGTTAGGGTTAGGGGTAGAGTTAGGGTTAGGGTCATTAATGCGGGCCACCGGCCGCGATAACATCAGTAACAGGTCAGTTTGAAACGAAAGACACCCACCTGTGAAAATTCAGTTAAATTTTGGGGTCTTTGTTTTTATCCTTGTGGTATCGAAAATGTTATAGAATATTTTCCTGAGTATCGGTAACGAGTTGAAAATTTTAGTATTGTGAAAACCCTATCAACTAATGACATTTGTTCTATTGAAATTTGCTTTTCATTTTGAGGCTGGTTATCAGTATTCATATGGATCTTGCTTTTCCAGCTATTAAATATTTGAATTTTAGCCAATATCTAATTAACAATGATATTTTATACTGAATATGACACATTATTTACTGAAGGAAGAAAATATTAATATACAATGGGCATTTTATGGAATTTAAGCTCTAAAAAGCTGAATGAACACACCCAAATAATGCTGTGTGAAATTTAACCTAATATATATGCTCAACTGGCTTTTCACATGGTTCAAAGTTCCACCTTTTAGTAAAAATGGTAGTGTATATCACTTGTGGATCCCAATAGTGAAATATCGTTCGCAAACCTTTCTATCATGTTTGTTAGACATTGTAATTGAAATGAAATCAAATTAAATGTCATTTGTCACAGTTAATTAAGAGTTCATACAGTCAGGTCCATAAATATTGGGACATTGATAGAATTATTTTGGCTATGTACACCACCACAATGAATGTTAAATAAAATAAACAAGATGTGCTTTAAATGCAGAATGTCAGCTTTTAGTTTGAGAGTATTTACATCCAAATCGGGTCAACGGTGTAGGAATTACATCCGTTAGTATATGTGCCTCCCACTTTTTAAGGGACCAAAAGTAATGGAACAGCTCAGATATTCCATTGCCAGATCTTTGTTATTCCTTCATTACCCCATTTAAAAGGAGTAGTTAAAAGGTCTAGATTACAATTCAAGTGGGCAGTTTGCATTTGGAATCTGTTGATGAATCTGAAGATGTAAACCACCGGAGAGCCTCAAAACAGGAAGACCAGATTAGAATTTGCCAAAAAAACATATAAAATAGCCATCACAGTACTGGAACAAAATCCTATGGACAGATGAGACAAAGATCAACTTGTACCAGAGTGGTGGAAAGAGACGAGTATGACGAAGGAAAGGAACTGCTCTTGATCCAAAGCATACCACCTCATCAATGAAGCATGTTGGTGGTAGTGTCATGGCGTGGGTATGTATGGCTACCAATGGAACTGGTTCCCTTGTATCTATGGATGATTTGACTCTTTACAAAAGCAGCAGGATGAGTTCTGAAGTGTTTCAGGCAGTATAATTTGCTCGTATCCAGCCAAATGCTTAAGCACTAATTGGACAATGTTTCACCGTGCAGATGGACAGTAACCTGAAGCGCACTGCTAAAAGCAACTAAAGAGTTTTTTTTAAGCCAGCAAGCGGAATGTAATGCGATGGCCAAGCCAATCACAGGTGAATCTGATTGAGCATGCATTTCACTTGCTGTAGTCAAAAGTGAAGGGAAAATTCCCCAAGAACTTCAAGACAGTTGCAGTAGAGGCCTAACAGAGCATCACCTGAGATGAAACCCAACATCTGATGAAGTCTATGCATTCCAGACTGACTGAAAAAAATTTGCAACCAAGAATTAAAAATTGAAAGTTTGATTTATTATTGTTAATTTGTCACATTACTTTCGTTCCCATAAAAAGTGGGAGGCACATGTATACATGGTTGGGATTCCTACACCATTGACATGATTTTTTATGTGAATACTCCAAAAGCCGAAATTCTGCATTTAATGCACATCTTCTTTATTTTATTTCAAATCCATTGTGGTGGTGTACAGATTAAAGATTAGAATTGTGTCGATGTCCCAATATGATACAATACAATGTGCAATAATAGCTTTTGTTTGTTTTGTTCATTTATTTATTTATTTTTACTAGAACATCATCTAAAAATTTCAGGTGACAATACATGTGAAGTTTTATTAGCTATAAGTGGCCATTTGTTTTGAACACTTTTGTCCAAACAGTTTAATAGGCTGAAGTAAAAGACACGAAGTTCAGAAATAGTCGTTGATCATGCATTTTGTCCCAAATATGAAGTATAATTATTTTGGAATCGTAATTCAATCATTTTCAAATAATTTGCGTTATTTGAAACCCAAAATTCATTCCTTGATATGAATTTAGCCAATACAAACTCTTCTGAAGCCGATAGTGTAGCTGTCCTTTTAATGTTGGTAGCTTACATGAGTGTGGCTATCTGTATACATCTTACCAGGGGTTTATTTATTTGGGTATATGTTCCAACAGTTTGAGATTTAGTCAGTGAGTTTACTTTAAGAAAGCCATTTAACTTTCTTTCTTCATAAATAATCCAAATATTGAGCGAGCACTCCAGTTTATTTGAACCTGGCTTGGTGTTTAGAGAGGAAGATTCCGGTTGGTCGACGGCCCTTCAGTCAGGCAGGCAGGAGGAGGAGCAGCTTCTCAGGGGATGAAGAGCAGAGTCCGCCCCCTTACCATGCGCAGGGGCACACTCGGCCCCGGCCAAGAACCCATCTCCATCAAATCCACAAATCGGGTAACGTCACACTAATGATCAAACTAACATGGCACCTCGGGGCGACTTTCGTTCCAGTGCACGGACGCACAGTGCCTCACTGTGGAACGGTTGGTTGATTCCAAATGGTCCCTTTTTTTTTCTTCTTTTTTTTTTTTTGGGAACTTTTTATTTTCAAGAATTTTCAGAACAAAAGAACACCCCCATAGCCAAGAGCAATAAAATCAATAACAGAAATACTGATGCCCCATATATAATATTTAAAAATAAATGCAGCACAATAAACCAGATCCCTGAAGCACCACACCACACCCCTCCCCTTCCCCTCCAGGGTGCCCCCACACAGGCCAAAAATGCAACATAAAGTAAACCGACAGCAAAAAATACGTATATAATATCTACGCACATACATGTTTACATATTTGTATATACACATATACAAATACATACCATAAGACTACAGATGACAGAGCAGATTGCAATTCACTACAGCCCAAAATCATACACCCAAATATAATTTCACCAAATGCCATCTTTGATTGAACTTGTCCACTTTGAGTTGTAGACATGCGGTCATTTATTCCATCATATACACTTGTTTTACCCTATTCTTCCACTCTGCTATAGATGGTGACGAATGGTCCCTTTTTTTAAGGGACCATCCTGACTATGCTCATTATGCATTGTGGTTTAACTAAACACAAGGGAAACCTTCCACTTTTTTCCCATAAAAACACAAGAAACTGATGTTCACTGCTGTTTTTCTCTCACCTTTCCTGCAGAGTCTCTCATAAGAATGAAAGAGGAGGCGGCTGAGTTGGATGAGTTCACTTTCTCGCAGGGGGCCTCAGACCAAGAGAGCAATGGCTCTGGCAGCTACTACATCAAGCAGGAGCCCTGATGTTACACGGAAAGGAATGAGCAGGCAGAACCAGGACAAGGACACAATCAAATAATTGCGACCACACACTCAAGCTAGTCTCCACCCACTTTTGCTCCATGTCTCCTCAGTGAAGGAGAGAAGGTTGATCTCCTGCTTCTTAAAAAAAACCCTGAAGGGAGCATTTCTGTGAACAGCCCTCTATCCTTTTAGCTATATGCACTAACACAATCAAAAAATCTGTATGAGAGAGTTAGAAAGCCTCCGGGCTTTGTTCACAAATGTTTGGGCATTCTCCTTGTGTACCATCTTCAGCTTTCTCAGCTTCAACTTTTTCCAGACAAAAAGATAACTAGAGTGTGAAGAGCAACGCTTGTTCGAGAGGAGAATTTTACTTAACTTTTACAACATCAACCAGTCCTGCCTCTGCCATAATCTGGGCCGCACATAGAGATCTGTTGAAACTGTGAGAACCATTTATTGAGCCAGGTCTTAAGTTTATTTGTCGTTGTTATTGTCGGTTGTTTTAGTTTGTTTTCAGGACCGAGTTTTCAGGAACAACCTGAAAAAAGAAACGGAAGCCAATAGACAACAACAAAGTTGTAAACAAATTCTTTGCTTTCTTTAAAACACATTTCCAGGGTGACTTTAACTTAATAGTACTTGAAGTTTTTGTTTTATTTTGTTATTATTTTGTGTATTTTTTCATATTTTCTTTATGCTCTCTTGCGTTTTCACTTTTTGTGGTTGTGTGGGAATTGTAACGTACATTGTTCTATTATGTAATTAAATTCATATAAGATGTGGGAAGCTATTGTAATAGACCTTTAAAGTTTAGATAAAATATACTTAGATTTCAAGAGGACTCTTATTACAGTAAAGTACAGTACTGTTCAAAATTTATGACTTGTTTCCACAGCTGCATTTATTCCTTATTCAATCATTACAGAACCTAAATTACCATTAAATGCTACAATATAATTTCATAGTTAGCAAAAATGACCATTTACTAAAACATTAGTTTTTATTGTGGGTTCCTTTTTCAGGTGTTTTGATAATGTATCATTTGGAAAAAGGTATTCTCAGTTCTCAGCATTCAGTAAAAAAAACTACTTTTTTTGGTTTGTTTTTTAAAAAGAATGGATTATAGCCTATTCCTTATTTTTGTTATCAGAATTCTACCTCTGCAAATGAAATTATTTGCTGGCTTTTTTTTATTGATTGGTTGACTATTGATTAGTTGCTTATTTAGAACATTAAAGATGCATCTGGTTCACTTCCACACATACATTTTCACTGCTGCATCTTTAGTTAAAAACATATTTTTGAAGAAATACATAGCACAAATGTACTCTAGCACATTCCATTTAGATTCTGCAAATAATTTCTGTGTGAAGTTGATGATAAAGGTATTCTTTGTATTTTATTTTTTTTATATACATTTTGAAACCTTCCTTCATGGTCCATGGTAATGCTGCACTCAGGTTACTATAGAGTACAGTAGCCATAACAGCCTAAATAAGCTTATTACATCGAACAAATATCTTCAGACCAACCAAGAGACGGTGTTTTTGTTAAAAAGATTTATATGGATCATCAGGAACCTGCTGAATTGCCCAGTATGATGCATTTGTTTTCCATAATAAACAGATGGGGAAAAAAACTTTTATGCTGTAATGTTGAACTGTAATGATGTAGCTGTGGAAATTCAAACTTTTTTCAAGAATTTTTTTTTTTTTAAGAGAATAAGGAATCATGTTCGCAGGTTGTGGCTAAATTAAAAAAAAAAAAAAAAACCTTGCTGATATGATGGGGTACATTTAGATAGATATTTTAATCTCACAGTACATGTTTTCATATGTACACTTTGAGTGATGTTGCTATCAGTTGCTATTCATAACCAGATGGTTCACTCACTCATTACTGTCCAAAACCTATCTGGTTCAGAAGGGTGTGTTTTGGACCACGACTGCAGTATTCACAAATCAAGTACTTTCTTGTTCCCGTGGAATCTGCAGTGTGCGACCAAAAACCCCACTTTAACTTGTTTGATTACAATTCTTTTGTTCTCTCTTTAAAACATAAAAAAAAAGTTTATTTAATACTGTAAAAGTTACCGGGCATGTTAACGGGCATGAATATACACACATCCACGTATATATTTATTTATATATATATATATATATATAGATGTATATATATTTAAATATATGTGTATGTATAGATGGATAGATGTGTATGTATATACATATGTATATATATGTATATGTATGTGTGTGTGTGTATATATATATAAATGTGTATATGTATGTGTGTATATATATATATATATATACACATACACATATATACACATACACATATATACATATAAATATATGTGTATATATATACATATATATAATCTATTTCTATATCTCATAACTAAGAAAGTATAACATAACAAATCCTTTAGTCAAAAATTGCTAAAATTACTAGTGTATCCTAATTGTACCTCCTACCTCCAATGCTAGTAAAAGTCAGCTAAAACTGAGTATGTTAACATATGCAATTAAATTTTATATATACGTCAAATGAAAAGTTTGAAGACATAAAAGACTTTTATTTCTGCAGCATTAAGTAGTCTTCTAATCTGAATGTTATGCAACATCCCATATTATTTTACCACGTTAAAAAATCCTTCCTGCAAGAATGCTGCTAACTATTTTGATATTAACAGAAAAAAATATTAATGAATGCTGTTGTACATCCTTGATTTATCAGCTAAGGTTGAGAATAGATATTCACTGAGTAGTCAGAGGCTGTAAATCAAATGCTGAGCAAACTCAATTTCTCCCTGTCAGGAGATCCTATCTTTCTTTTCCTACCATTAAGGTTAAGGATTCAGTTCTCAGGAAGGTTATTCTTTTTGTCTTTAAAATTTATAATTCGTAATCAGCAGGGTTTGTTTAATTTATCATGTAAGTACTCTGAACAAGTAGAAAGAAATTAAGCCACACCTGAATACTGCAAGCTGTAACATAACACGTCAAAATTTTGAAATCTTATGTCACAGGTGAAAACAGAATTGTTTTTATTTGCTCATTTAAGTTATATGTGTTATGCATTAGCAAACTTTTCATTTAAGTTTTTGAGTAATTGTTTTGAATTGTTAAAGTGTTAATCTTTCTCATTTAGAAAGTGGAAAAAAAATATTCTAGTCCTTAAAAAAACGTTTTTAATGACATTTGTTATGATAAAACAATTTAGTAATGGTATAATTTTGGGTAACTACTGAGTGACTGTTCATTTCTGATGAAAAAAAAGAAACGGGTCTAACAAAGTTAGTATGATGAAACTAGCCTGGCAACACTGAATTGAAAGTAACTTTTTGCAGTGCTGTCAGTGTTCTCTGAATTTGTATATTGAATGTTTATTAAAATCTAAAAGAAAAGATTACTGTTATTGCCTATAGTTGAGTGAATATAATAGATTATTTTGTTTTTCTGTTATACAAAAAATTACATTTTTGACATTTCAGGTTCACCCTGCTCCATGTTTTCGTTTTATTTCGGAACAAAAAACAAAAAAAAAACGTTTTTCCTGATAAGGTTGGTGGCTCCGCTTCAGTTTCTGAAATAGATGCTGAAGTTTCAATTTAGTCTGATATAGTTTTTTTTTTAATGCATTTATATCCCAGTAATCTATGTTGGAAAAATAAATGAATATTTAAAAATTAAATCAAACAACACTAATACATGTTAAAAAAGTTAGTAAGAAAATACTATTCTTTGGTCTAATTGCTTCTATCTTCAGGAAAACCAGTAATAATAAAATACACAGTTCTGAATCAACTTAATTTCGCAAGGATTAAGGTTATTAGCAGATGTGGTTTCACTGAGCTTTACTCACAACTCCACCATTCCGTCCGAGTCCCTTTTTTTGTTGAGGCAGGAACTCAAGCCCAGCTCCACTAAGCTTACCAAAAAAAATCAATTCAAAAGAAGAAAAAATCAATGATAATCTTAATCCATTAGTCTTTTTAGTCATATTCTTTTAGTTTTAGTTGGAACATTAACTATGATATACTGACCATGGATTAAAATCAGCAAGGGTTTCTTTTGAATAATTTTCTTGTCTTTCCATATGTGAAGAGGACAGTGTAGTTTTTCTTCTCTCTCCCACACCATGTTACCATGGATACTAACACAGGACTTTTGTACCCATACCACTCCAAAATAATTTATATTAAACCATTATATTGTGGTGCTAAATATATATTTGAATGAAATAAAAAAAAAACTTTTATTGCCTGAAAATAATTATCATTTTAGGGATTTTTTTCTTTTTGGTGAAAGATATTTTGGATACAAGTTTTTAAAAAGTATGTTGATAGCTACAAATTTCTAGATATTAGTATTGACCATTGAAGTGTATTAGACTGCAGTTTAAAGTTTGTAAATCTTTTTCATAGTGTATACCTGTTTGAAATTGTAAATGTGTGATGTGTTCGACTGTAAATAAAGTAAAATGCCAAATTAAAAATGGTTATAAACAACTGTAGTTAAATGTTGTTCAGCTTGGCATTTAGTTGGTGTGATATTTCTTTTTTTAACACGACTTTTACCTGGAATAAATAAATGCTGATTATTTCATGTGTTGAAGCTCATTAACCCTTTACAGTCTGATCTAAAACAAGATATTGTATTTTCTTTGGATATAAAGGTTTTAATTTTGCCCTTTAACAAAATATAGATAATTGTTGAATATTGAACATTTATATGATGCAATGTCCAAATTGTCATGTAGCCCATTGTTAAAGTATATCTGATTGTGAGCAAGTTCTGAACAGTCTTACCATTAAATGACGCAAAAGATTTCAGAAACAATGTCTCAAATATGATGCATACTTTGGATTTTCTGTACTTTATTTCAAGAGCTTTTAGTTACATTTGGCTCCAGCAGGACCAAAAAGAACCTCAGCGACAGTTACGTTTTCTTTTAAGCTCTTATCCTCTATCCAACATGAAAAGTGGCTTTTCTTATGTGAAATTGGACATCGTTATAAGTTATTTGAATGCATAGAGGGCAAAAGAGCCAAATGCATCTAGCCAGAGAGGCCCTGCAGGACATTTATTGGAGTTCAGTGGACCACTATGATATCACATGTATGGTTAATTAAATCTTCCCAGTCAAACAAAACAGTTGGTATTGTTTGTATTTTTTTTTATTTGGGAGCAGATCACCTCTAGCAAAAGTAATTTACATAATAAGAATTGGATGGAATGTCATCACAGGAATGGAAAATGGAATTTAGGCACACTTCAGTAGAAACTACAGCATACAGTATGAATGATGAATGTCCGAAAGGATGGGAAATGGGAAATATGAACATATCAGTCTAAGCTACAAGTACTTGTTTCACTGGTGCATAGCCAATGGGAATAGTGCTGCGGGACAGGACGACTCAGTAAAGCCAGCTGAAGGCACAGCTCGTGTAGCTGGCCAGTTCTTCTGGCTTGAACCACAAGCTGATTTCCTTGTTGGCGCTCGCCACCGAATCACTGCCGTGGATGATGTTCCTGAAAAGAAGTGGCATGAAAGAATAAGAATCGCCTCCATTTCAAATGTATATAAAACTAATTCAGAGCAAGCAACTGCATTTCTAAACGGCACTTACTTGCTGACATCGATACAGAAGTCTCCTCGGATAGTTCCGGGTTTGGAATCGGCAGGATTCGTCTCCCCCAGCATCACCCGGCCAGTCTTAACCACACCCTTACCTTCCCACACCTGGAGCACAAAAAAGATGGAGTTTAGCTACACCACACTTCTGTGGTCCCTCAAAATATGCTCCACAGGAGCCACACATTCATACATTTAGCTTCTACTGCATGCCTTGATGTTTTTGTGTTTTAAAAAAAAAAACCTTTTGTGTTGTGTACATACGTACCATGGCAACTACTGGCCCCGAACTCATGTAGCTGACGAGGGAAGGAAAGAAGGGCCTTTCCTTCAGGTCAATATAGTGCTGCATAAGGAGGTCTTCGGAGGCCTGCACAAGGGAAAATATGATAATTTAATAAGCTGCAAACAAGTTTTGTTTGAAAGGTACATTTTCCACTGTCAGATCCAATACAGGTTTAGAAGTTAACTGCACTTAACATCAGATGTTAAGAAGATGAGACTTTGATCTATTCCCGACTGTGGCCCATCTAATTAGACCAGGTTAGAGAGCTAATCAGCTCACTGGGTCTTAACGGTGCTTCTTAAGATAATTTTAACACACGTCAAAACATCAGACTGAGAAGAATCCCTGGAAGAAGAAGAAAAAGGAAAAAAAAAAATGTACCTGGATCATCTTCATGCCCACAAGTTTGAAGCCTTTCATCTCAAAACGTTTAATGATCTCCCCAATGATGCCTCGCTGCACGCCATCGGGCTTGATGGCAATGAATGTGCGCTCTTGAAGCTCAGACATGATGCTGAAACAGATTAGGAAAAAATAAAAAACTCAAAAACACATAAGCAAAGTCTGTTGAAACAAGATCCTGAGGGTGCTGTATCTCTTTCACTAAAGCGCACAGCCCAGATCCAAAGCTTCTTCCCAACTGTCACATTTCAAAGTACAGCCAACATGTTTAGATTTTTTAAAGCTTGACAATAGTTGACTTTTGTAAAGCAAAAACAAAATGTACATTTTGAGATTAATTTTATTTGTCACTCCAGTGCACACATTTAAAAATGGTTGCTTAAGGATTAGCGAGACAGGGAAATATATCAATAAAGAGACTTATTGCATCTAAATCAAATCAACTGACATGACTTAATATTAATTTCTAAAAGCCCCACCTAATTTGACATGTTTAGAGCTTGAGAAAATCCATTTTGTGAACAAGCTTTTACTCTTGCATCAACTCATCCTCCTGTTAGCAGTCATCGCGTGATGTCTTTGTCTTTCATACATTTAAACTGATGACTGCCATTGGGCATATTTGATGTCTGCGCGTGCAGTTTGCCTTAAAATTCCCATTATGTTCACTAACGACTGAATAATGATTTAAGTTTGGATGCTTCTATGAATCGCGGCTTTCATTTTTTATTAAGCTAACCGGCGTTAGCAAAAGCCGGTAGTGGCCCGCACGCGACCAGGCATTCTTCTGATTCTTCCTCGTGCTGACGTTTAATCTGCCATCTGCGCTTGTAAGCAACCTTTTAAGCCGAATTACAACCGACCACGTCCACTTCCCGTTCTCAAGTTAATGCCTGGCTGTCATATGCCATCATGTAGACGCAGAATTGAACGCATAAAATGCCTCGCAATTAAAAAAAAAAAAAAAAAAAGTTCCGGACAGGCCTGGGCCTGACACAAAGAGCCGTATGGCTCTACCCGTTTCCGTACTGTTGGTGTCATTTGCTGCTAATCATGCAAAACCCTAACAAACGTGTATCAAACGACCCCATTAACTCCGAAATTTAACTACTTCACATTATATATCGACCCGGTTTTTTTTTGGTGGTGACATACAACTTTGACTCGTGCACAAAATGAAGAATACCGACTTCAATCCTCAGTCAAACTATAGACAACAATTATCAATTATCAAACCCTAAAGCTCGTCTTTTAGTGGAAACTAAGTAGAGCTTTCAATATGAGACTCACATATCATAAATGCTGCCATTACCTTAATAGTGAGGTTCTGTTAACCGACGGGTAATCGACACGCTGCTTGAGGTAGAGAGACTTTGTCCAGTCTGCGCATAAGGTTTTATCATTCTGGGCGGGGACTTAAATTACGGCAAGCCAGAGGCACCAAAAGTGTGCACAACGTTGCATGGAGTATAAATAATGTTATTTCAATCAGAGTCCCATTTGGTAGTGCTATTCATTTGAAAGTTACACTCAAACCAAAGCAGTGTGTGTGTATATATATATATATATATATATATACACACACACACACACACACACACATATATACACATATATTCACATACAGTGGGGGAAATAAGTATATGACCCCTTGCTGATTTTGCAGGTTTGCCCACCTACAAAGAATGCTTATTTTTCCTCATCAGATGGTTATCAATTTTTACAAATTCATATGATGTGATTTTCTGGAATGTTATTTGGGATTCTGTCTTTCACTGTTAGAATGTACATATGATTAAAGTTATAGATTGTTGCATTCTTTGTAAGTGGGCAAACCGGCAAAATCAGCAAGGGGTCAAATACGTATTTCCCCCACTGTATGTATGTATCTATATATGTGTTTGTGTGAATGAATGAATACATTTCATAGAAAAAAGAATATACTCGGATTTGTTCATTTTAAAGAGTGCCTTTTTGTGTGTTGTTTCTTATTATGATTTATGTCTTCCCTCTGAGTGTTTGAATAAACGGACATTGAAAACCTCTTTCCTCTCCCCTCATCTCCTGTCCTCACGTTCACTTCCTCTCTGCAAATAGCATCAGGGGCTCTTAAATAAATGGCAAGTTAATCTGAAAGCCTAATCTCCTGCGTTCCGTTTTCACTCCTATTTTTAACATAGCTTCAATCCCATCTTTCTCACGCGGTGTTATTGGAAGATGAAGAATTATCAACTAAGTGCTCTTTTTGCTGCATCTGACAGCGTTTTTGCATAGAGAGTGTTTGCTTTGAGAGTGCATTAGTGAAGACCCCTACAATGTGCTGAAACAGCATACTGAGGATGTGCTATAAGTGGCATTGCTTGGCTAAATTGAAAGCAGTTTGAAGATTTTCATATCAAATTCAGTCAGCACTCCGAATATGGTCCCTATTCAGGACCCACTTCAAACATAAACAGGCTATCCCCTCTCTCCCAATCTCGACCAACGCAGTCTTTCCCCCGTCACTCATGGATACAGCATTAAAGTTGTGGTTCAGGAATGGTCTGAAACGGGTGAAGGATCTTTTTAAGGATAGTGTGTTCATGTCGTTCAAGCAGCTGGTAAATTAGTATACTGTAATGTCCCCAGTTAGCACTATTTCAGGTATCAGCAGGTGTGTGTCTTTATTCGGAAACATTTTCCGTCCTTTCCGTTACTCTCACCAAATGACTGGATGGATGAGTGGTTGGAGGAGGATTTAAATAAAATACGAGGAGTGAGCAGATTATATGAGGATATCCAGATGACCGCCTTGCTGATACTTAGTCATATTAGGACAGCATGGGAGGAGGAACTAGGATTTGAAGTCTCGGACGTCTCCTGACAAAGCGCAGTTAGGAGAATACTGTACATTCAACTTCAATTTGTATCAGACATGGTTTGCTTCAGTTTAAGGTGCTGCACAGGCTTCATCTATCTAGGAGTAGGCCTGCCAGGATATATCCAGAGGTCGATCCAACTTGCCCCAAATGTTACCAGGCTCCGGCTACCCTCTACCATATGTCCTGGGCTTGCCCAAAGTTGGTACAGTTTTGGTCCTTAATTTTTTATACTTTTTCTTATATCTGACAGAGAGATAAGCCCTGCTCCTGAAATCACAGTATTTGGTGTGGCCCCAGCTGGGATGGCTATATCTGGTGCACAATCAGACGTCATCGCATTTTCATCTTTATTAGCCAGACGTCTTATTTTGTGTACCTGGAAGTCAGAGATGCCTCCGACATACAGGCGCTGGGATGAGAATGTAATGGCACACTTGAAACTTGAAACACACGATCGGGGTGATGATTCAACCCAGAGATTTTATAAGGTCTGGCAGTCATTTTGAAATTATTTTAACTTACAAGTCCCAGCTGGAAATACTGGGACATAACTGATTCACAGGCTCTGTAACTTTTCAGGTTTTTATTTTATTTTATTTTGTTTTATTTATTTATTCATTCATTTTTTGTGTGTGTTAATATTGTCACTCAAACCCAAAACCCCCCTGCTGTGAGGCGATGGTGCTAACACACACCCATGTAGCCCTCCTTACAACATCTGGAAATACTTAATGTAGCGACAAATTCATGACTATTAAAATCATGCCCTTCCTGCCCTTCCCTTTCCTGTTTAGGACCACAGACCACATCACCCATTATTATTTGATGACTCTCATTCAATATATCAAACATATAAATGAACCTTGAATATATGGAAAGAAATACAATAAATCTGTTAGTTTACTAAACTTTTGCTTGCTTAACTTCCAGGTTTACAAAATGGCATTAAAAAGAAAGTTAACAAAATTATTTTGTTGAACTTGAAAGCTTTTGGCAAGGGAAATTGTTAATATTAAAAACATTTTGGCTTCCATATCTGGACGGGTTTGTTAAATGTGAATATGTGACGCTCTTATTATGATATGGAATTTTGTGTATGTTCAGCCAATCAATCACTTGTATGTGATAAGACGTGTGATGTAAGCACGCAAGATGTGCAGTTCGGGTCAAGCATGAACAGAGAGATGTCATGCTAAAGTTCAGCTCAGTGATATTAATAAAATAAGAAAACTGTAAAACTCTGCTCCGCTCATCTTTGTCACATAGGTAAAATCTGCTGCTGCCGGATGAACACCTCAACAGGTTATGGGCCCAGGGCTGAAGATAGCGAGCGTGAGTAGTTTTAGTTAAACGCAACGTATTACGCGGTAACGTTCAGTTTGGAGCTGAGGAGAAGTTTGGCGAGCTCGTGGTGACAATGGCTAGCCGAGCCACTGGAGCTCCAGCACCACAGTTGCTGTTCGACGGGTCAGAAAAGAAATACGACCTGTGGGAAGCAATGTTTTTGAGCTGCCTTCACATTCTGAAGCTAAAAGGGACAGTTTTAGGAGATGAACCAGAACAACCGAACGACGACGATCGTCGAAAGAATGCCGACTGCTACGCCGAGCTGGTGAGGCTAATCGACGACAAGAGCCTGTCGCTAATCAGGCATGAGGCTGCTGATGATGGCAGAAAGGCACTGAAGATACTGCGGGAACATTACGCTGGTAAAAGCAAGCCTAGAATTATTAACATGTATGCGTCGTTGACAAAGTTGCAAATGAATGAAAAAGAGACTGTTACTGATTATGTGATAAGGGCAGAGAGCATTATCACATCGTAAAGAGAAGCAGGGGAAACCCTCAGTGATGGACTGATCGTGGCCATGGTGCTAGGCGGGCTACCAGAGGCGTTCAAGCCGTTAGCGGTGCATGTGACACAGAACGAGGACAATGTCACGTTTGCCGACTTCAGGCGAAGGCTGCGAGTTTACGAAGAGTCTGAGAAAATGAAAATGACAGAGCAGAATACAGACAATGTGATGAAGACCCATGCGAGATCGGGCAAAGGGCAAAGCAGAGCAGAAAATAGCAGAAAAGGTGACGATGGGGACATGACGTGCTACAAGTGTGGAACAAAGGGACACAGAGCGCGAAAATGCCACAAGGATCCACTTTGTAAGCTGTGTGGCAAGAGGGGGACCTTGGCCCATATACTGTCCGGGTGCAAAACATCCTTAACCCAGGGGCGGTATAGATGGCGCCACGACAA